TCCACAGTATATGCCATTCTTCTTGCCAGTCAAAAAGAAAACATTGACATGACGATAAAATTTGGTCAGCTACTCATCGGGCATGATGAAATGGAATACGAGGCTATATACCATTTGAAACTTGGATTGGATCTCCTTGAATTTCGTCGATCGCCATCGATCATATTTTGTGCATTCTCGCACCAATTTGGATCGTTTGGAGAACCATTTACGCGATAGCAATATTTTTTTCCGGAAATTAATGACTGTATCGGAGCACTGCAGCGTTTGCAGTGTTTTATGACTGCGCTCCCCTTCAAAAATTAAATGGTGTAATGGTGTTAAATGGTGCAGGCAAACTTTATTGAACATGATGATTTGACCTTTTGTGAACATCCATTCCCTCTCAATTAACGTTTTCACTCGAATTTGCGACGTTGGTGAGTTGCCGAGCTGAAAAGCAGTGCGAATACATCGTCTTGTCGGAACTTTTCGACAACCTAAGCGGCATTCTCGGAGTCGATTCCGGAGACGTGGCTGGGGCTTTCGAGACTCATCGCGACTCAGCAGTTGCTTAACGATGAGAATGTGTGCTCAACGCGTCTCCAGGTCCAGAGTGGGAAAACCGCTAGCAGCGGCAACACGTGGTAATTGGTGCGGTTAAATGTCAAAATTGGACCTGTTCGTTTCTCGTTGCGTAATTATCACCTAATTATTTCGGTCGAACTTAAGTTATTACCACCGATGATCCAATAGCTAGAGGGAAGGGAAAGGGAATTAACGATTGGATTTTGGAAACTTGAAACTTCAAGTCACCTTGCGCTCCAACCGAAAAATCCGTATTTTCGGCAAATTAACTTTTGGCCTGTTGTCGCAGATTTTCAAATGCAATTTTTAATTTCATAATTTTCAACTAGCCACTCAGTCACGATGCATATATTAGAACTAAAAATTGGCAGACATACATTAGCTCCTACTTCTCTCTTACGCCTGATCCCTTGGGACTTGGGCGAGATTTCATAGTGAAGAGCCACCTTACGACGAACCATATATCATCGATATAATTCGTTTAAATTAGTTTCAGTTGCGTGCCCAACGTTTGTATGAATTTTATTTATTTTCACGATGCTCACCTTTCGCCGAATTCCGTATCCGGTGAATCTGAAAGTCGAAGCGAATCGTCATTTTTCATCATTTTCCCCAGGTTAAAAACCCCTGATCTAGACGAACCGACTTTCGGCGAGAAGTTGGTGTCTCACGAAAGGTTCACAATCAGATTTTTGTATTTTCTTTCCGTTCCACTTTCAAACTGGTTAATCCGCGTGTTTTCACTGCCATCGGGAACGAAATTTTTTATTTAATCTCCCAGACGGGATGACACTCACGCTTGGAGCATTGGTAAACTCGCGATAAGATAGAAGGGGATGGGATGAGTTTTAAACCGGGAGTGTAATTTGTCACTGACAAAGAAATCGCAGTTATCTTATCCTATTCGAACTTGCCAGGTCGTCGAGAGGCGAGTTGGGAGGCTGTCGCACTTCGAGTCCCCGACCCCCTCCTTCGTCTGCTGCACTCACTTTCCGCTGGTTTAACACCCGCCCGATGCGCTGCCTTGGCTTCAGTTGTTGCACGTGACTGGGTGGGATGTGCACTGCTGTGTGCGTGTGTGCGTAAGCGTGTGTGTGTGGTGGGGGGGGGGGGGGGTATCAAAAGGACGGCATTTGTGTCTCGGGACCTTTCGATGCCGTTTCGTGCTATATATGAAGCCGAGAGGGATTGGGATCCCAACCTGGACCTCAAGGCATTCCAGAAACTGGCGATGAAGGATTTTCGTATCATGGACTAGGGAGCCATGTCATCGATGAAGTTGTGCCAAGTGCCGGCAATTGGAATTCCAACACCAAGAGTCCTAGCAACGTAGTCATGGATATTCTTCCCCAAGTAAGTTCTTATCTTCTTTTTTTGTAAAGGAAGTCTGTATGCTTCAAATTATTGTGCCTTGATGTACATTAATAAAACAACTTGGAATGAGTTTTCAATGTCACAAGTAAAGCCAAGAAATGTACAGCTCTTATCCCACCAGTTATGGATAGCTTAACTCCTTCTTCAAAGTTTGAGTAGATATCACTCAATTAGATTCTAGCTCGAAGGTCCAAAGTTACATTTGTCTCGAGTGGAAATAAAAGAGTTAGTACTGAGTGTTTTTTCAGGAAAGTTAAGGAATAGCTTTGCGTTTTTCGAATGCATTGTCGACTTTAATCGAATAGGAATGGCATTCACCGGCTTTTAAATTGTTTATCCTTTCTGTTAGTTTGTGTAGAGGATTTTGCTATCGCACTGATATGCTTCTGAACACCATGAGCAGCACAAGCCACGGCGAGTTTGTTTGCCCGTCTCGCATGCACTCTGATCAGGGAGACCGAGGGAGACAACTCAAGCTGATGCATAGCAACTCGGAAACTAGGACGCAAGCTGATAAGACGATGCTGAGGAGGCCGTTACAAAAATATGAAGTTCATGTTTCTAGTAAAGCATAGGACTTCGAGGTGCCTCTAGTACTTTCTAGAACTTTCTAGAATTCAAAAATCTTTATAGGATACTCGTGATAGATCTGACTACTGAAAGTGAAAAACAAGTCCCAGAATTTTTGCGCAAACTGAAACTATCCGGGAATGTCAAGGAAAGAGACCAGAGATATGGTTATATAAAAAAAATTAAATGTGACCTTTTCCTGGAATTCAATGTTTAAAGTCGAGGTCATTGACCTTTTAGCTTCTTTAACATTAAAACACCATGAAATACCGTGAGAAGGGCCGTGAGAAGAGGTTAAAAATGTTACCACTCTCAGCTCTCCAGATTAATTAGAAAAAAACTCATAGGATCTTAATGATGACCACTTGACCCAAAATCGGTCCTTTTTGGCAATTCAACTCCCTGCACCTCAGAAAGTACCCAGCCTAAAGAGTCGAAATTTTAATTGGATTCGTTTTTATATATCCCCAATGAGTCCACCAAATTTCATACAAATTGGAGGGGGTCAGGTTTCGGCTCTGTCGTTTTTATATGGAATGACCCTCTTTCTCTTCTCCCTCCTGTTTCAGGCAAAACAACTGTCATCGGCGGGGGAATCGAACCTGAGTGCAGCCCTGAATTTGCTCATAGTGGCGAAGATTTCAATCCGTCTCTTTGCTTGTCTGAACGGATCTCGTCATCTGTTCTGTGCGGCTCCTCAGTTTAATGCTCGCATAAGGTCGATGCATCAGGTTGATGCATTTATTCCTGTTCCTAACATCACGGAAACGCTCGAACGAGTTGACGAAATTGGGTCCTGGAAACGCAACCCCGACATGGCTTCGGCGTGAAACACTGAAGAACGGCGAACTGGAGAAACTTAAGGAGTTTGGCGTCTTCAGTGAAGATGCTTAACTCCTAAGATTCCTGATTTCTAAATTCATCCGCCGTTCAAAAAGTATTTTCCTTGTCGCCTTTTCCTGCGACCTTGAAACTTTCCTTGGTAATTTTAGACAAATTCCTATTTCACAATTCACTGACAACTTCCTTCTGCGTGCTTGAAGGCTATTACTAGGACACATTACCCGCCCCCTCTGAAACTTCAATGGATCTCATTGTACATCATAAGGCGTGCATATGTTTACTACCTTGTTACCTACTTTACTACTACCCAACAAAGTTATAGCCTAGTTTCTTCAAAACCTTTTAACTCCTTGGTTTTGGAGCATCTATTACGGTCAGTGTACATTTTCATACTTTTTTTGTTTACATGCAAGATACAACCAAAACTCTAGAGAATGGTTGATGCAGCTGGGACCAGCGATTGCAATCATTTCGAAGCTTTCATCTTGTATATGAGAAATACCCCCTTGGATGGCTTTCATTGTGCCGCGTCACAGATTTGAATTAAGAATGACTTTGTTCTTGAGTGTTATTTTCACGTGCCATTCTCATCTTCCTAAGATAAAGAGCTTTTGGATGGTCTCCGATTTCACTTTTGTACTTTCATTGAAACTTAAAGAACAATGATTATATGCTGATACAGTATTTTATCTATTTCTTAAAGGTTTCTTTGCTCTGGAGAGGGAATTTAGTTTCATCATTTTTATATTTTGTTTTTATTTGCTTTCTTTAAAAAATAAAATAAAATATAGCTTTAATTCCTTTTCTTTTTCACAACCGATGAGTCAATCTCCCGATAGAGCTAGCTGAAATATTACTGGACTTGTACGAACATGACCGAGCCACATCACGAAGCAAAGGTACTTGTCCAAAAGTTTCACCATTACAGTTGCTGAAAACAATTGAGGAAGAAAGAATTGTATGTCATCATATTAAAAGCATGCATCATGATCGCCAACCGATCACTGATGGGCATTTATAGTCCCTTTGCATTTTGAACTTATATATAATTAAGAGGCGTTTAGAGTTTCTACGAGAATGAGTCAAAATTCCAGTACCTTCGCAATCACTGTTGGAGTAAAAAGAAGAAAAAAGCTATACCTCATGCCGGGATTTTCTGTTCTCGTTCTTTCAATTGACTCATTTATGATTTAAAAAATTTTAAGTTTCCCATAATGATCAAAGCTCCTAATGCTATAATGCACTTTCCTGATCGATCTCAGTTCAGATAAATTTATTAGAACTTGCGGATGAAGTAGTAATCACGGTTAAAAAAATTTTTTTATCAAGCTGAAAAGACATTGTTGACAGCAGGATTTGCCATGTTCACTGGATGTCCTTTCCTTGGCTCCTCGATGGTCAAGACTTTCCATCAAAAATCAATCCGTGTCTTTGTCATTTCTGATATGAAGAAAGACACAAGTTCAAAACGGACCTACCTCTGATGAGTTAACCCACATTCAGGTGTGTGAAAATGTTTATTAAAATTCCTTACAAGAACTAGAGGAGATTTTATTGCGTCACGGCAGGGATAGGTTTGAGAATTATTTCAAGATACGTGAAATTGTGAACTGAACTTTCAGAAATATCTTCTCTGGGGCATAGGAATGCCGTTATTCTCCAATTTGAAAAAGGTGTTTCACAAGAGTGCCGTTGACACGAAACGCCAACAGACCATTCACCACATCCGAAAAAATGCCAACCCCAAAGATCTCTGGCAAATTGTGGGAGAACTGGGCGACGGAGCATTTGGCAAAGTCTACAAGGCACAGCATAAGGAAAAACAGATCCTTGCTGCAGCCAAGATCTGTGAACTGGAGGACGAGGAAGATCTCAGCGACTTTACCATCGAGATCGACATCCTCAGCGAGTTAGGCAGGAAATGTCTTGCTCACGATGGACGCCGGTGTGAAACTGGCCGACTTCGGTGTCTCGGCCAAAAATCGCTACACCCTTCAGAAGCGGGACACCTTCATCGGCACCCCATATTGGATGGCCCCTGAGATTGTGTCCTGTGAGACTTTCCCTGATCACACATATGATCTTAAAGTTGATATTTGGTCCTTAGGCATCACACTGATAGAGTTTGCTCAGATGGAGCCACCCCACCACGAGATGTTGCCCATGAGAGTTCTCCTCAAGATTCAGAAATCTGAGCCGCCAAAGCTGAATCAGCCAGAGAAGTGGAGCCGCTCTTTCAATGAGTTCATCGCTTCATGCCTTGTGAAAGATCCGCAACAACGACCCACTGCTTCCAGATTACTTGAACATTCATTCATCAACCGGGTTCTGGATTCCAAGTCCATTCGGGATCTACTTCTGGAGTATAAGGCCGAGGTCGTAGAAGAAACATTGGAAGATGCAGAAGATGCTCTGGATGACGTGTCTGAAGGAGGCTTAAGTGGGTCCCATTCTTCCCGAAACAGTTCGATCAGCGCATTAGGAACTGTGAAGTTAGAGGGCGTCCAAAACAACTCTGACAGTCCTAGCATTGCTAGAAAAGAACCACACGTGCTCATGAGAGTGAAAGCAATTCATAAGAGCAGTGTAAGTCTGGATCGGCTTAGTCTTGATTTTGATAGTTCCTCAGAATCAGGATCCTTGAGACGAAGAGAGAAGAGACGTGCTCCTGCACCTCCTATTCCAGTTTCACAAGTAGACTCCAAGATGCCAACAAATCCAGCTGAGATAAAATCTAGAAAGCCTGACAGTGAGCTTATAAAAGTTGACGGTAAAGATGGTGCAATTGAACCATCGCTACATCTGCCAGTCGACAAAGATAGCTCTCCTCCTGCGCCTTCCACACCACCCGTATTATTGCAGGGTGAGAAGCCTCCTGACATTTCCGCTGGAAAGCCTAACCGTGAAAGAAACGAAAGGAAGGAGAAGAACCCAAAAAAGAGAACTAGGCGGAAGACACGAAAGTTTGAAATCGATGGCGTCACCGTCACCACAACCACCAGCAAAACAGTATTTGAAGGCGATGAAGGAAAGCTCTACGATAATCACGTCCTTCGCAAACAGGAACTGCGAGAGCTGAAAGTGCTTCAGGCGCAGGAGCATAAGGAATTCAGAGATTTGGCACTTAGAGCCCAGTTGGCTCGAGATCAGCTGGAAAGGAAATTTGAGCATGACAAGGCGACTTTGACCAGACAATATGACATTGAACTGGAGAATACGATTCGAGCCCAAGAGATGCAGGTAGAGAGAGCAGAGCAGCAACTGGAGACGGATTTGAGACTGCAGTCAAGAAGGATCCGGGCAGTGCAGGAAGTGGAATTGAAGCAGTTCATGGAAGGGCTAAAGCATGAGATGAAGCAGATGAAACAGGATGTAGATCACATGTCGAAAGACAAGCGAAAGGAAGCCATGAAAACCAGGAAGGATAACATGGAGAAAGATCAAGTCGATCGAGAGAAGGCCTTCCTCGGAAAACTGAACGACAAGCACGAAAAAGCCATGAAGACGATCAATGAGAAGCACCGTGAGAAAATTGCCAACATTAAGAAGCAGTTCCTGCAGAAAAAGCAGCAACTTCTCCGTAGCCGAGAGGCTGCGATCTCGGAGCTGGAAGAGAAGCATATCCATGATAAGCATCAGTTGGCCACGCAAGAGGACAAGGATACCTTCCATCTTCACAAACAGCATATGTTAGTCCGTCACAAAAAAGAAATAGGTCAGGTGAAGCGTATGAATGTCAGAAGGGAAGAAAAACTTTTGAAGGCCCTGGAGATCGAGAAACGTCAATTGCCGAAGCGAATCCGAGCCGAACGTGACGCACGGGAGACAATGTATCTTGAGAGTAGAAGAATTTCAGGTGGCAACATCCTGAATTCCGAGCAAGAGAAAGAGCATTTGAAAAGGTTTCAGGAGCAGGAGAACAAGCGATACAAGGCGGAACAAGAGAGATGGCGATCGAAGCAGCTGCGGCAGTCGGAGGACACCCGTCAGGTATCGGAAGCGGCCGTGAAGGAGCTGGAGAGCGCGCAGAACGAGAAGAGGCGTCTTCTCATGGAGCACGAGATGCAGAAGCTGAAGCAGCAGGAGGAGGAGTACAACCGAGAGCTGAGTGAATGGCGAGCATTGCTCAAGTCCCGCAAACAGCGACTCGAGGACGAGTTCGCAAAGCAGCTTGCCGAGCACGAGAAGTTCTATGGAATGTCATTGCGATCCAATACACCCGCTGCGCAAACCGTTGAACTGCGAGTCCCCGACCGGCCTTCTTCCGGGTCGAGTGGGAGTTCCGCTCTCTCGCTCCAAAGTGATTCGCTCATTCCGTGACTACGAATAGGCTGCCAACAAACTCATACGGTGCACTATGGAGATTTCAGTATAAAAGTTTATATTTAAACAATATTAAAGTGTTCTGACTATTCTTGCATCAGTTGAAATTGAGGAAGGTCGAACCTGGCTCTTCAAGTTCATGTATTCTCTTTCCGACGGTTGAAAGTGACTGTTCGATGAGTTCAGTCATCTATGTTATCTAACGTAAAGAAGTTTTAAAGACTATGGGTTTGTAATAATGAACTAGTCATTGGTGTTGATATTTTCTTTTATATGTTGTTTCCTTGTTCAAGGTCTGTGAATGTTCCACAATTGTGGGATTCGTGTATACGTTGGCTTCTTGGTATTAAAAGTTTCCTTCGAGTTGAGGAATTTTGATGATAGTGTTGTCGTCGAAAACTTTTATCGTCTTCACACATTTTTATGATGTACCTATAGCACTTCAAGTCGAGCCTCAACAGACCCTTCGCAGGATTCCATGTTTCCTATTTCTTTGAAGGAGGCCCGCGGGATGGATCGTCATTCATCGAAACGATGCCGTGACACAATCTTGATTAGGAACCACTCCTTGGTTTTCATTTTCAATTGGCTTCCTTAGAACGTCTGACAGAGAGCTCGAGGAAGAATCGTCGCGTTCCTGCTGCATGATAAATCCCGAACCCCGTCTGCCTTGAGTGTCGCCAACTCTTGCTGCAAGATGCTCCTCCTGAGCGTCCACAAGTATTTTCCTTCCACTTCACATAGTGGTTGTCGGAAAAGAATGCACTTTACAAGCAGGGGGAAAGGAGGTGGAGGAGGGGAAGTGGGGAGGGGGAGGAAGGTGGGGGGGGAAGGTGTTTCAACTTACCCTGTTGGTCTCAAGTGGACACTTCGTATTGGCTGCATCGGAAAGGAATTTAGAGATAAGATTTCTCAGCTTTGGTTCACGCTATCTCCTCGCGTATGTGTTACGATGAGATGTCTCAGGACATTCTGAATCATTTTTCCAACATCAGTGCGGTAATAAACAAATAAGGAAATTATAAAATGATAAAATTGTCTGCGCCGACGACGTCGTGGGTATCTATGGCTCACTGTCTCATAAAATGATGACTGAATGTCGTAAAAAAAAATTAAGACAAGCTTGCTTGAGAGCAGAAAAAATGGTTCATCTGGCAAGCTCACATTAAGCGATGGCTCCGTTTCCAGAAATATCGTAGGCGTGCCGATATGGATTCGACACCGTTTCGATTTAGCATTGCAAGAAAACCAAGGTGGAGCTGGAGACTAGATTGAGATTCCCATCGTTTTCCTATGGCGCATCCCACTCTTTGGACTGCTGGACGGCAAAGAAAAAAAGCTGGCCTTGAAAGGTATTAGATTTATGGGAAAGCATGCATGCATTCGAGAACTGCCCCGGTTGGGCGTGAAAATATCCATGCAGTGCAGAACTGATTGAACGACCAGGAGTAGGTAGTAGCATTTTAATAGTAAGTAGTAGCACCCCGTATTTAAAATAATTTTAATGTTTCCGGCCCCATCTAGTGAAGAAACACGACTGAAGTAATCAAAAACCACCGATTTGGAAATGCAGCCGAATCCATGAAAAATACGAAATCTCTATGATCAGCGAAATTCCCTCGAAAAGAGAGAACTTTCGCACGGGCGTTTTCTTCGTGTCGATGGTGGATGCCCGCAGAAGTGATCCAATGGCGCTTGGAGGAATTTTCATCCCTTAGAGACACAGACTCAAAATTGTTTCGCTGCTTTCTCCAATGCTGTTCGTTTTTGCCGCTGCCTTTGTCATTCTGGCCGCGTTGTTCCCTACCCACCCAGGCAGCACACCACGTTGTGCCCGCGTTGGCTGTGAGCGGGCGAGCGCGAGCGGACTTCGCAGCGGGCCTGCCCGAGTAGACCCCACTTCAGCTTTTATGTGGCAGCCCAACATTTTTCCTATCTGGGGCGAGCCATCTATCTCAATTACATGAACAAGCATGGTTCCTGCAAACGAAACGAGAAGGCGCGTAAGTAGCCAATGTTCTAGCAGTGTCACGGAATGACTCGCTTGAAGGCCCAAATATTTTTCATGCAGAGCCTGACATCTTCCCAGATCACGTAAACTTGGAGGGAGATGCTCGAATTCCCCAATGCGTTTGCTTAAACAGGGAGACTCCAGGCGATTGTGGAAGAAGCATGGTTCAAATGGGCCCGACTCGATGGGGTGGGAATTACTGGGCCCATAATTATATAATATAATATTATATATACGAGGGATTTCTCAAAAGTTCTGCCGGTAGCCCACAAGTCATCACCGGAGGTGGCCACAAAGTGCTACTTTTGGGCTACTGGCAGAACTTTTGAGAAATCCCTCGTATTCGGGCGTGATGAAAGAGCTACCTAAAGGAATTGGTCTGGCAGAACGAGGCGAAGAACCAGATGAGCGACGGATCCAATCACAATGGGTTCCTGATAGAAGCTTATTCGAGGCCTCTTCCAAGCGCCTGAAAGTCAGGCCGCACGTTAGCGTTTAATACGGGCTCGAGGTGGAGCCGAGGGACGAGCCTGCGAGCGCCCGACGTTGAGTCCACGCACATGTGGGAATCGAACAGAGGCCATGAATCGGCTTACGTGGGTGTGCTGCCCTAGTAGCCCTCAAGAGCGACCCCAAAAACGACAGAAATACACACGAACTCACTGGAAATCTATTTGAGAGACGACAAAGTTCGCCGTATGCTTTGCATCCACTCCTCGGGGTCTCTCCCCATCTCCTCCCGCACGGCGGCCAGCAGCGTCTCGCCGAGCGGCGTCCCTTCCCCCGTCGCCCCCGACCTCAGTCGCCTCTCGATCCCGTCGTGACGCGCCGCCAAGACGCGACCGAGACGACGGACGAGTCGAATACGCGCCAGGTTCTCTGCGGCCCTGCGGTCGTCCAGTCCCTCTTCCCGTTTCGTCGCATCTTCTCTCGTAGGCCATGCATCCATGTCTACCTTCGGGTGGACGGTATGACTCAATATCGGCACGCAGGGTGGCGTTTCGTTCCGAACTGGAACTTCCTATTGAAAGGAATCGCGCGGATTGCCTTTCTCCTTCTCCGGTCTTGGATCTGGAATATTGGAGCACGAAGACCAACCCCAATTCGTTTCCGAAGGAAGCGAATTTCCCGCCGAATGTCGTCTCTTCCCTTCCGTCTCTCGTCCGCCTTCGCCGCCGCAGCTGCCTCCCTCACCTGAAGTCAAATTCCCTGAGAGTAAGCTCGAAGGAAGCTTTTTCTCAATCCGATTCGTGGCGTCTTTTTGCGACACGATGAACTTGACCTTCATCTCCGGCTTCCTGATTTTTGCCAGCCGTGACTGCCTCTCTTCCTGGAACGATTTTTCCAGCTCCATCTGGAAGAAAAATGGTTCATCTGGGAGCAGGCTTCATCTGCAGCTATAGAGCATGAGTCATGAATACTTATTATCGTATATAGACGTAAGCGTAAATGGCCTTCTCTATCCCTACTGCCCTATTGATGAAGACCTGTTCGATCAGAAGGGACCAGATCGCCATGTGATTCGAGTCGAGCAAAGTTATGGTCACCATAGGCTGCGATTCCTAAGGGATCAGGGGGCTCGAGCACTCCAAAAATTTGGCAGAGGTGGCTCACTGCGAAGACAGCGAGCACATTAAAATATGGAATACTTGCAAAGGAGTACTGTATCTGAGCCATATTTCCATGCTTCTCCATATTTCTCAGAAAATCGCCGCCGATGGTGGTCTCGGAGAGAAAGAGATCGACGGCACAGAAAAGCAGAGCTTGGCGGAAGCACATTGCATGAGGCCTATTATGAACAGGCCTTTGCGTACTGAATTGGAATTCATTCATTATGAATAGGTATATTACCATTGTGAACCTGGTAGATCCTTCCATTGAAGACGTAATCTGTGCCATCATGGCTGCGCGCCTGTATCAATACCCTGGCTCGAATTTATGACACCTTCTCACATTCCCCTGGCAAAGTATATTTGCATTAACATACATTCAATCTTACATCTACTGAAACCCAATTTTTCTTAACGGGGCATGCCTGCCGTTTCGCACAGTTAGCGATGGAAACATATGACACGTCACAGGTCTTGGCAACCCTGAACGGCTCGTCAGATGCCCCGCCCAGACTCCTGCGTCTGCTATAATATCCGACAGCCTTCCCGCGCATGCGCACTGCATTCGGGTCTGGGGGTCAGTCTCCTTGGGCAGCCCTGAGTCACGTTGCAGGTGCCTCTCATATGACCTTCTGGCCTAGCTTTCGCCCTTCTGGTGAGACACGTCGTCGCCTCATCACGGTTGGTGAAGCCCGATGATATTCCCACTGGTTCGGTGTCAAAAACGAACGAGTGAGAGAGTCAACCTATTTTGGGGAATGATGGGTCAGTTGGGATTAGGAAAGGGTCGCGGTCTTTGGCGGCGATAATTTTTCGTTTTATTGATTTCATATATATTTGATGTTTTGTAAGCAGTGCGACAATGCCTTTATGCAGCTAAACATAACAATTTGAAAGGTGGCTGGGCCACACCTGTGGAATGTCAGGCAGTAATTTGATTACTATCCAAGAAGCATGGTCTCGTAACTATGTGAAGCAAAATTTTAGGGAATATATATAGGCCAATGTTTAGGGTGAAGCCAATTCAAAGCGAAGACTGCATTGGCGCGAAAGGCCTATGGGCTTAGGTCCACTTATAAGTCTTTTTATTCCCCTTGAACGAATTCAAACTCTTTACTCCTCAATTTCACCTTTGTGAATACGTCAATTGCAAAAGAATTGGAGAATTACGATTCGAAAAACGTTGAAAGGAAATGAACTGTTCGCAAAGATCACCAGCCACGTAGGCATGATGACCTTGAAGACGTCGCGAGAGCAGGAGCGAGTTACGATTTGCTGCCTTAGGCTCCATAGGAGCTGCAGGATACAGAATGGCAATATGTTGCCATTCTGTACTGCCTGACAGTTCTCTATGACCGGTGACCGGGCTTCAACTAGATATCCTGCTAGGTGACTTTTCCTCCTCACCCGGGATTCTTCCGAGGCTCTCAGTCGACCGCAGAGATCGTGGAGCTCCGTGCTGGCCTGGTTAGACGCAGACTCCCTCTCCAGGGCCTCACTTCTCTCTCTCTCCCTTTCGACGCTGTCCGCCAGGTGTCGGGAGCGTTGCTCTTCCCTGCTCGGCTCCTCTGCCGACACTCGCTTTTCGACCTCCGCCCTCTTCAGACGCTCCTCCAGGTCCTAATCGAAAGAAGTCATGCTCATTATCGCCCGCGCACCTGCGAATGGACCGAACGATCCCTGTCTGTCTTCTGAAGCTGCGTGAAAATATACGGAAGGAAAGTAGTAGCGCCTTTTGCAGTAAGTCGTGCTCTGATTGACTCCATGTGGAGAGGATGGATGGATGGGATCGAGGATAAATTGCGGAGGGAAGCCATTTCAGAATGAAGAGATGTTCATGTTCGCCAGCAGGCTGGTTACTTCCTTTTTCCAATCCCCTCTCTCTGAGGCGAAGTGAAAGTTGCATGAAGGGGGGGGGGGGGGGGGACGAAAGCAGGGGTCAGTTGCACTGCCTCAGTAAAGTCAGACCGAGGAAGCATGGTAAGCAGGCTCCCAAAGTCAGACTTGCCTTGAAGTCTTACTTTATTTTTTTATCCGATTCTTCTCCTTCGTGTTAGAATACACCAATGACATTCGAATACAAAAGCGTACATTGTTCAGTGCAACATTATGTAACGCGGCCTGCTGAGATACATTAGGACGAAGAGTGGAAAGGAGGGCGAATACGAGCGATTGCGAGAGCAAATGAAAATTTGCTCTTGCACTATAGTGCTGAGCCCAAGGCGCTTTGCGTGTCTATTCATCACTTCTTGTTGTCATTCTACGCAGCTCTCTAACGGTCGAGCTCGTATTGGATACGCTACGTGCTTGTGTTTGTTCCCGCAAGGCCCTGGATGCCAACCGGTGTCGCGTCTTCCGCTCGATTGATAGTCTATGTTTCTCGTCGGTGAGTTCAATTTTGCCCCAAGGCGCTTCGTCTCGTCGATTAGGAGGTGGTAAATACGACGTGCAAGATAGTCAGCAGCGATCCATTCTTTTTTACGTTTCCCACGAGATGGACCGTGCCGTCCTCGGCCAGTCTTGGTGATCGTGAAATATTTGGAAATGGTTTTTACTTACGCATTGTTGGTAAACGCCGAGAATCTCATATTGGATCCCTTCATGCTATGATCATCCCAAGCGCAATGAAAAAACCGTAGGAAGACCATCTAACCTTGTCCTCGCCAGCGGTGGCTCGGGGTCTGCCTTCCAGCAAGGCGATCGCCCTCGCCTGCCTCGCCTCGTTCGCTTCCAGTCGCTTTTCCAGGGTCGTCCAAGCGGATTCCAGTTCTGACTGGCGGGACGAAAGCTGTGGGGGGCGAGAGATCATAAGGGGATACTAGATGGACCTTTCCCACTGTGGGGCTCGGAGTGGATTCATTCCTGAAATCAGATTGCTCGATGCGAGAGACGTGGAATTTTACCACTTTCAGGCTTATGCCAGGCATGTAACGTCATACTCCCATAGCGCATTCAAAATGTCGGGCTTGAAAGTGTTAACAGAATTGCAGGACGCAGGCCAAATCACTCACTGGCGATTTCGATATGAAAAAAAAATCGTGGGGATGGTGTTTCAGAACGGTAATTTTCGGGAATGTCCTCCTATAAGTCTTAAGGAAGTTTTATTTGAAATTTGAAGCCAATATTAAGTTGATATTTGCAAGGTGAACCGAGGAGCACCTCATGGTACTTAAGTTTCGAGGTATAGAGCCTCATAACGGGAATCCATCCATGTGGTCATCTGCTATTCAAGTTTCACTGATTCCCCCCCCCCCCCCCTCCCGCTTCAAACACTCAAGTTCAGTGGTGTAATTTCACACCCATCATAATCTCGTGTTGAAGAAGATAACGAAGACTTTTTAAAGTCCCAGTGCAAACCGATCAGCCAGCAACTCCCGTGAAACACCAGGAGAGACAGCGTCAAGGCCAGACTCACGGCGGCGACGGCGGCTCGGTCCTCGGCGTGCGCGCGGAGCAGCGACGCAAGCAGCAGTCGGTGTCGCTCCGGGGCGTCGGGGAGCATTCCGAGCGAGCCGGGCAGTCGCGACAGGGCGCGGTCCAAGTTCTTGGGCGGCGATCCCGACATCGTCTCCTGGAAACGCGAAGGAGAAAGAAAATGTCGACTCGCATGTCGGATCTAACAGGGTCCGGACTGTGGAAATTCGCGTTCAGATTGCAATAAACACAGAAAGGATAAGATTCTCTGGCAAGTCCCCTTAAATTCACAAAGCAAGTTCTATCCGCTCTCGAAAGACCATCTGAATTGAACTCGAGAACCGAATTCGTCGAGAGCCTCGCCGCGCCCAAGTTGGATTCCTGCATCTCATTCCAAAATCGACTCTTATCTTCGTGGGTTTCGGCTCCCAAAATTGTTGTCTGATCCTCACTTGGCATTCCTGGACGAGATCGCCGAAGGCGTAGAGATTCGGGAGAGTCTTGCCGTCATCCTCAATCGGGTCGTTCGAAGAGGTCCAAGCAGTTCCGCACTCTCCATTTGAGGCGGATGCTCCTTTCGGGGCGGATTCCTTGTCGCCAGGGACGAAATGATAGGGGTCCATGTGCTTGTACCCGGCCATAGCTATTCCCCTGGGTCAAGTAACATATACCATCATAATTGGGTTTTCGATACCGGCAGAAATGAGACCAACACGATCGAAAATAACGTTTTGTCTAGATACCAGAGCCAGGGGATGCGATCCATTTCTCACGGCGACCACGCTGGGAAATTTTCCCTCCTCTTATTAGCCTAAATTTGAAGTCTATCGTGCCATTCTTGGCGTCCATCATCGTCCTATTGGGGACTGGGGCAAGGAAGCATCGAAATATCATCGGGTGTCTGTTCGCACGTTAACGGTCGTTCTGCTCCGTCACCATTCGGTGGCAAGATAGTTCAACTACTGATGCTATGTTACCCCATCGACCCCTGGCCGACTCCCACAGTTGCCCCTATGGATTTATGCAGAACACTGTCTTCGCCCAGTAGCCCTCTTCTCTGTTCGAAGCTTCAGCTCCCAAATCTCTCTCTTTGAAAATCTTAAACGCGTCACGGCAACAGGTACGCCACATTTTTGAGCAGCGGTGAAAAGCAAAGTAAGAGAAATCCAGACGATTGCATCAGCAGCCACATGAACTTCAGTCCGTCTGCTACCGTTATTTTCAACTGTAAGTTCTCTGCACTGGAGCGTGACCAACTGCTGGTCTGGGCTTGCCGGACGACATCCCCCACCCCACCCCTCCTTTGGGTGGATCACGAGGGAGAAAATCCTCACTCGCGGAAATCGTGTGGTTGTTTGGCCCAATATAGGGATGACAAAATCGCAGAATCCTCATAGTTAACCTCCGTTCGGATATCGTGTGTTGGATCTTTCATCGTGGTGAGATTCTCTTAGGTTGCACGCATAGGGAACGCTAGAGCCACTCCAAGTCCACGGTGCTGCTATCTACAGGGAGTCTATTCACTGAGTACTTGCAATTTTGAACGATCTGCTCATGAGGAATTACGATTTATGTATGTAAATATGAAGACATTTTACACGAATTGCACCGTCAATCGAACTCTGAACCCATGTTTTTTTTGCTTAATTTTTTTTTGGAGGGAGGGAGGTTGTGTGCGTTTCTCTGAAATATCATAAGCGTGCATGCTTGCATTTGCCTAACCTTCTGTTTCACGAGGAATTGCTGAATGAGATGGTTGAGGGTGTTGAGATCAGAGAGGATTTGGTCGTTGTCTTCAATTGGTGGTTCGAAGAGGTGCTAGCCATTCCATGGTCTCTGAGACGGATTCCTTTTTTGCAGGGACGAAATGATAAGCGTCCATGTGCTTGCAGCCGGCTACCGCTCTTCTCCTGTGTCGAGAACGATTTCCTATCCTGTCACCAGCTTAAGACAGACAGAAGGCGAGAGAAGATTTTTGTCCAGATAACCAAGGGATGCGATCCATTTCTCACGACCATCGCCACGCTGAGAAATTTTCCTCCTCTAGGCCTGGATTCGAGGTCTCTCGTGCCAACCTCAACGGCCATCGTCGTCCGATAGGGGAAGGGAGTCGCGATGCATTCTTCACGTTTCTTCTTTGCGTGCCACGGTCGTTCTGTTATAATATCGTGCGGTCACATGGTAATTATGTGATGATATATTGACTCCCGTCATCCCTTGGAGCAAATCGGAAATGCTTCAAGTGCCGACCACGAATGTACAAAATAGAGCAAGAATCGTGTGGAATAACAAAAAGAGGGAAAATGTCATCGAGGAGTCAGAGAACCCGTGACGTCATAAGTCACCCGCGGATGTATACCAGCTATTGGAAAAGGATGGATAAGCAATTTTGCACGAAAGGCAGGGAATTGAGTTTCTGCAAAGTGCGATGGACTGCGGGGACCCAAGCGAGACTCAGGTGGCCGAATTACATCTTTTCTTGTTCAAGGTTCAGGGTTCAGGCAGGAATGTGAAGAGGCATTTCGGTCCATTAGGACATCCCGTGTCAAGGTCGAGCGTTCTATGTCATCCATGTCCATATCTAGACTTTTAAAGATAAATATTTATGGGAGCAAATCCACTCGATGCCTTCCCTTACGAAAATGTCTTATAGGATTCCTATATATTCCTTTAGGGATATATAGAAATCCTATAGGAACCTAAAGGAATCCTATAGGTACCTATATGCCCCATAGAGTTCAGTTTGGGACCTATAGAGTTCCCTATAGAACTTATAGAGTCCCCTATAGAACCTATAGGGTTCCCGATAGAACCAATAGGGTTCCCCATAAGGCCTATAGGTTCCCTATAGGACTCAAAGTGTTCTGTATTGGACCCGTAGGGTTCCCTTTAAAATCTATAGGATTCTCTATAGGACCTATAGGGTTCCCTATAGGGCCTATACGGAACCCTATAGGACCTATAGGGTTCCCTATAGGGCTTATACGGAACCCTATAGGCCTATAGGGTTCCGTTTGAAGTTCTCCTCTAGGCCACTAGATGGAAGTATTGGGTTCTCGCATTTCTCAAAGGGCACAAAAGTGCCCTCCCCTTACCCATGGAATCATCTCTCACAAGAGAGTTTTGTACGTCCCCAAATGGCTCGCCTTGCCTCATTGTAGCAATCAATAAACTTCGACACTTCCTTATTTGTCATCCCCATCTTCCAGATAGAATCATGGAGTCCCGTGAAGAAATATGCCCTCATTCCTTTTGAAAACCACGTACGAAACTGAGTCAACTCTATCCAGCAGGAGTTTCAGTAAAGACACGTGCTCGCAGGTTCTGTTTTCTTAGGTCGAGAGAGGGATACTACTTCTCTCTACCGAAGGAAGTGGACATGCAATCCAGCGACGTATGTGGGGCGGGGCCATAATTTATGCAGATCCCCGCAGTACCTGTATTAATAATATATGTGTCCCTACCATCGTTAAACCTCTTATCTATTTTTGATTTACGCCGAAATGCTGCGCCAATATTAACCCCAGTCGCCTTTTCCGTCGTAATGCCTATGTTTCGAAACCCAAAAAATCCTCCCCGAATCCTATAGGTCAGGAGACCTATAAGACCCTATTGGGATCCTATAGGATCCTAAAGGATCCTATAGGTTTTTCGTGTTTCAAAAACCTATAGGAAAGTCTATAGGTTTCCTATAAGAAATAACTATAGGTTTCCTATAGGACATTTCCGTAAGGGAATTAACATCGCCATTGCTCCCTATTTTTGCTCCGTTCACGTTCACTTCCTCTTAAAGCTAATCACGGAAGAGGCAGCCACTACTTCCATCATCACTTAACGCAATTCCCACGTTCACTACCTTACAGGCAGAGAGATCCTGAAGCGACCTGCGCCTCACCTGGGGTTTGCCCATCTCAAGCTGCTTTCGTCTCGATCTGTTGCTGCCATCAAACTGGGAAAACCTACTGCGCTATATGTAATTGATTCCCTGAATGATTTTAAATGCTTGAATGAGGTCCACCCGTGTTAACCTTCCCTCGAGTGAGTACAATCCCAACACGTTAGTTAACCTTTATTTGTTGACCTTCAAAACTGGACGCAATATTCCAAATGAGGCCTTAACAGCGCCGCACAAAGCGGAAGAATAACGCGCGACCCATTACTGGCTCTGGATCGTCGGATCGTGCCTAGAATTCTGTTGCATTTAGCTACCGTCGTTTGCGCTTGCGAGAACTTTAGTTCCTCATCGAAAGTAATTCCTTAATCTCTCTCTCCTCCAGTTTATTCGAGTCCATAATCATTCAGAGACCTATCGTTATTATGACCGATGTGAAAAACCTAACGCTAAGCGTAAGGTTTTTAATAAAGTAAGAGTGATATTTAATAAAATAAGCCTTACCTTTATTAAATCTCCTGATCCATTTCTTATTCCATTCATCCAAAAGCCGTCGATCCTCCTCGGCTCCCCCATTAGAGAAACTATCGGTAAATTTCGTCGGCACCCAACAGTCACCTTTGATTGAGACTGCGTGTTTAAAAGAGACCCGTTTAATTCAGCTTCCCTCGGTGTGGCTGTTCTGTTCTTGACATGTTTTCTTTCGTCTTCCGCCGTGTGCATCATAGTCATTGCGAGAGAGCCTAGGGCAGGCTGAGGATTTAGGTTGAGTGTTAATCGCGGTCTTGTGTCTGTTTTCACCTTTCAGCTGTCGTTTTCACGGTCGATATGCGAATTGATGCAGCTTCACTCTTGCCTTCTGCTTCAATATTCATCGCACTGGCATCGTTAGTGTTGAGATGACGATGACTCAGCAGCAACTGCCTACGGACGCGTCAGAACGCGCACAAAACTTGCCCATTTATCTCTGAAGTCTCCAATGACTCATGTCGAACAATGTCGAAAGCCCAATAACCACAAATAAAGCCGCTTTATTGATAAGGAGTGCTTTTGACAAGAAACATAACTTCCTGGGAGAGGAGGCACGTGCTTAAAGGGATAGGAGGCATGCCTTAAAGGGATAGGAGGCGTCTGCATGAGGCGAAAAGGAGGACGAAGAGCGGAAGATGGGAGGGGGACAACGTGATGGCCGCGGACATGCACAGGTCCTCCTGACAGAAGCAATACTTGTTGCCTCCTTCAATTTGAAAATCTTCAGCGAGGTCCTCGCATGCTGTTCTCCAATACGTGGCGCAGCTGGCCTTGATGAGGGTATCTACGTGTCGAGAAATTGAGCGATTAGCTTAAGGAGGGACTGCCGAGACCTCACAGGTCATTCCATAACAATTCACCGAAACCAGGTGCAAAATAAAACCTTACCAATTTGTTTTTGCTTTTGTTTTTTTTTTCTTTACGAAATTAAAAAAAAATAGTTTTCCTGACTCCATAACCAATAATTCAGCTTTTCAGCCTGATTGGGTCAGCTACCGTGAAGCTGATGAGGTAGCAGCTTATCCCAGCGCATATAAACAAATCAATGAAGGGCAAGTAGTGTATTCTGATTTGAACATTATTTGCTATTTTTCTCATCACTAGCATAAGCGTTGACCTTTCTATGGCTTTTTTCCAGGTTTTCATTCAAAGGGTTCCTTTCCAAAGTCAAAGGTCTAATAAGTCGCCGATAAGTCACATGGTGTGATTATGGCTGCAAGTGCAATGTTTTCATATTTTAAATCCTCGTGGAATTACCCGTGGATTAGTGACGCCTTATTCGAATTTCAAACCGAGGTATTTCTTGAATTACAGGACGTTAAAAAAAATCTGGGGCCAGCTGATGACCCTGAAATTTGGCTCCATGATATCTGACCTCCCCTCCGATCAAGCCTAAAATTCGCATTTCGGCTTTGGAGCCAGGAAAACAGCCTGCTATTTTTTTTCCCGAAATCTGAGGTTGTTACGTGATACGTGCTCATCGTTAATGTTTCTTGAAAATCGCATTTGGAGACCTTTCCGTTTCGATATGACTGGAAAGCTGGGTTCCCCAAGAGATACGTCGAATTTTTACAAAGAAGTTCGTGAACACTCGAATGAAAGGTTACTTCCACTTTGGCCTCGTGGAATCTCGCTCCCGCATTAAGATCGACAAGAACCACAAGATGTGATATAATCTTTGACCGACAGTTGGGGCGAAAGCGCACAGGGGCGACTTTACGCGCGTGATTTTTACGACTGACATTTGCCTCAACCTTTAAAAGGGGAGGCAAGGTCAACTCCAGTTTCACTATCTCTCCCTGTGCCAGATGGATATTGATATGAGCCCAGAAGAGCCACTTATACATTTTTGAACTCATGGCTTGGATTTAGAAGGAACAATCACACATGGAATCGCGGCTGCCCAGTCAGCGATTTATCCCCGCGCCGAGCGTGGCTTATCTCCGAGGTATGCGTGTTACAAGCATGAGCCAGATACATCAGCCCACACATGCATCATTGGGCCATGGGTGGCATGAGCATGGACCAAAATAGCGGAAATGTCCACGTTATCTGTGGCACCCTCATCGGTAGTTCGAGTGTGGCTTATGTGTGAGGCACTTAATTGACGAAAATAACCTGGCTGGTCTCTGGTCTGTCTGCACGTTGAAGCATGGCACACACGCGGTGTATGAATGTGCCGCTCCACATATGTCCGCTATTTATACGGCAATCCGTAACCTAATAATGATGGAGACATTTTTATCTACAGTACTAGTACTGCTGTTACTGGCGTAATCCCTTTCTCAAGCAAGAGTTTGACCCATGGATGGGCAGGAGGTATAGGATAATATAGGAGTTAATCTACCCCTGAAACGTACTAATTATAGTACAGTATATAGTATCATTGTATGCTTCCGTATTCATGAAAGCATCCGCAAATGTTTCCTCTCGCTTTCAGTCGTATATTGTGTACGTGCGTGAAACATCCACGTCTGCCAAGTGTGGGCCAAGGGTGCAAAAGTTTCCCGTGCCACACATGGTCGAACAACCGAAGTGCCACAGAAACGCCGCAGCTGCCGCACATACGCCGACCTATGGCCACACATGCGCTGCTGATTGGGTGGTCATGCTGGAGACTGGGGGTGCCAGAATGAAGAAGAAAAATAAATACAGGGACTGGGAGGCTCACAGTCTCCAGAATATATTTTATCAATTTCGGACAAACGAAATTGATCTTTAAATAGGATATGCCACAGTATTATGTGGTATCATTTGGGTGGACCATCTGTTCCTTCGGAAGCAGTTTGTTCAGATCCATCTTTTTAGCTGCATGACATTCTAGTTTGTGTATTTTATACCATCATCATATGACTGCTTTATCAGATAACATGGATTTTTGAACTCATGAGGGACTTTAGTTTCCATCCACACAGTGTCATTTTCAGTATCCTTCTTACACAGGATGGGAAAGTGAAACCGGGACTTCACCTTACCTCCCCTTTTAAAGGGTTGAAGCAGACTTGTACGAGGTATGTCAGTCATGAAATCAACATTTGGAAAGTCGTCCCAGTGCACTCTCGCCCCCGTTTATGGAGATGAGATAAAAGAGAAAATTTAGCAATTATGAATTCAGTCTCAGGGGCGAAAGTCTACGAGGGCGAAGGTGGAAGAAATCAAATGAAGCACTGTATATCGTTAATGGAATTGAAAGTATTATGACGTATTCGCTGATGATAACTGAATCGAGGACGGAATCTGAAGACTCGACAATTCTCCGACGTGATAATTCGTTCAGTCGCAGATGTGCCATTAACAATTTTTACAATGACACAGCTTAACTCATATGAACTGCGCCACCTCTGTGTGGCACCCTGATTGGAGATCCCATCCTTTCGAGGGAATCTTGAGCGAAGCGTGGAATCGGTTGTTTCCACTCAAATACGATCCGAAAAGAAAATGATAAAAATTGAGAACCAAAGGGAATGAATCCACTGCTCACCGTTCTCCTTCCAGATAGTCATGCAATACTGTCCGATTGTATCAGGGCATATGGTAGTTTTCCAGTTGTCTTGGTTTTCGCATGTGGTCTCGAAGCAATCGTAGCACATCAGAGCGCTCCCACGCTCTGAGGAGGGAAAAGGCGTTAAGACGATGGAGGGATGTCAGGGATGTCAGGGATGTCAGAAATTCGTGATTGCGTCTTACCGGCGAGGACGAGGAGTCCGAGGATCGCGAGGACCTTCATGGTGAGGAAACCTGCAGGAAAACATATGAATAAATTTTTCTTTGCATGCATGGGGGAAATACGGGGGCAGACAGGCATTCATTTTTGCATTCCTCTCTCAGACAACGGCGACAGCCAGTTGCAGCATGTGATGAATGCAGTCATGAACTCATACTGCAGGTATTCTACAGCGAAAGTCCTTCACGTATGTATGAGTGACATTGTCCCAAAGTTAGGGGGAAAATATTTTCGACAGGCATCAATGGAGGAAACGCTGATCCCCCGCCCCCCCCTCCCCCACTTTATAAAGCAATGCAAAATATAAGCATCCTCGTGAAATAAGCAAAAATACGCACCTGGAAGACGCACCTGGAACCTTAATGCAGCGAGGTAAACTGCCTTCGCGATAAAGTCACTCACTAGTAGTTTTCCCGAGGGACTTCTCCTTTTTATCTTGCCTTTTATCGTGCCGAAGCGCTTCAGATGCGATAATGCGAGAGGCTGTCCGTGTAAGCCACGGGCGTAAGCATAAGCCTGTGGCATAAGCCTGACGAGAGCCCGGGAAAGCAACAAATTCTCTCGAAAAGAATTATCCAAATGTTGTTCTTCCAGACGGGTGAGGAAGAGGGAGGAAGAGGGGAGGAGTGTCCTTCATCACGGTTTCTATGAAAGGTTTTCCTGTCGCCGAGGAGGAAAGTGGCTTTCGTGCAAGGGCGGGAAAAGGCCAAGGTGCCTTCCAGCTTTCCGTGATTATTCACGTTTCCCTCTCGATTAAAGAGGCCTGGCTTCTGACGACAGCACCGAGGCCACGTGACAGCCCGCGTGAAGGATGCGTCCTCGGCCAGTCCGACCCTGCACAAAGCCGATCCTTGAATGAATCGAGCAATGAATGAATTCAGTGCAGACGCCAGGAGCTTCCAGGGAGGAGGGCAGTCGACGCTAGCAGACGCCAGGAGCTTCCATGGGAGGAGGGCAGTCGACGCTAGCAGACGCCAGCCGATGTTGGAGTTTGAGTCCCCTCAGATTCGAGGAGGATGACGAGGAAAACATGGAAATAAGCTTTCGGAGCGTAGGAATCACTACCGAATGCGTCACGGCGTTAAAAAACGCTATATGTCATGACCTCCCTTATGTCCTTGAGGACATGGCTTCCTCATGCAATACTCACACCAGCTTAAACCTCATCTTTCCTCGACCAAAGAAATCCCGGAAATATCCGAAAACCATACGGGAGAGTTGGAATTTTTTCCCAGTTCTAGAATTAAGAGATGATATTTGTATTTTCGAATGGGCAATGACCATATATATATATATACAAAATATAAATTTTTTTTTTTTTAGTTTTTCCCCATCGGGGAAAACTGAACTCCACGGGAGAGAGAGCTCAGTTTGTTCCCACGAAGCTCCTGCGGGAACTTGATACGTCCCAGCACTCACCAGGAATGACTCACAGCAACGATGACTCATTTTCATCGAGGTTTTCATAAAAGGGAGCGTGAGGTTCCCTGCATCGGTCGATTCTTCGGCGTCGACAAGCCGAAGAAGACAAACGGAAGAGAGGGAATTTTTGGGTTCGCTCTCGACGAGGAACTCAAGATCTCTGTTGCGTTCGATTTCGGAGGCCGATAAATAAATGAGAATTTACGGAGCACAGAGAATCCGTCGAGAAGATAAGAGGACAGACATATGAGAAGCTTTTAAATGGTCTTGGGACTGTACTGGCGAGAAAGTTTACGAGGGGAACTCCATCCAGGCGTTTCTGATCATTACGCGAATCGATAGCGTCGAGCGCGGAAGTTTTTCCGACTCGAATGCCGCAGCAGGACGCGAGAAAACCAACTCGATCTGCTAGCGCCCCAGGAGAGGCTCGGGGTCGCCCCTGGAGAGGCTCGGGGTCGCGACGGAACTTCTTCGCTCGCCGGATGAGGGATTACGGATCGGCTGCCGCTTCGAGAGGAGGTTCCTCGCCCTCATGAACGTTCAAAGGAGGCAACGCAAGGTGGATGTGCTCTCATGAAAACAATCATCTCGAAGAGAAGGGCAGACTTATCTCATGATACGCGAAAGCTCGACCTCGAACTCCGGTCGTTCAAACGGGCCTCTCTCGAACTTTGAACCGTTCGCCATCGCTCTTCTCTTGTGGAAACATTGTTTGCTTGAGTAAATTCTAGATGACAGGGTTGTAGCTCAATCCTGCCATAACTGTTATTTTACTCATAACTGTTGATCTCGTGCACCCTTTGATCTCTCCGTCAGCGCAGGAATTATTTGGATGTTCACCTGAAAATCTCTGCTCTCACTGGAGCTATTTCCATTGTGTAAAGATTGATACGTTCTTAATGGACGTTTGATTCGCTACCAGCATGAGTTCTTGTTCGTTCTTCTCCATTTTCGTTTTCCCGACTTCTTTTTAATGAACGATCACAGCCTCACTCGCGAGCAATGGATATTTTGCATTTTTGTTGGAAAAATAATCATCTATGCACCGTGAAAGTCTCGTGAAAATGGCTGAGGTAGGAGCAGAGACACTTCAAGTAAAAGTGCTTGGTCTTTTTTTCTGCCTTTTGGTGTCTTCGTATCTCGATGCAATGCAGAGCAGACTGTTGGGAATGCGGTCGGGACTGGACACTCGAAATGGCAGTCGTGACGCGTCAGCGATCCGAGGCGAAAGGTCGTCCTGGTGTCGGACCTTCATCCGCGGAACCAGCTTCTGTTTTATTTCTTTTTTTAGGCAAGGGCACGACCGAGATATGGGCTTTTGTGTGAAACGAGCGGAGTGAGTCCCCCGTGACGCCGAGGGGAGACCCGTGTGCCCTTGGAGTATGGCAATTGGGTCGTGTTCCGCCTTTGGCTTTAGAGTGTACTCTAAAGAGAGTATTACTAGAGGCTCCACTCCGCTGGTATCCCATTCATTGACAGGAGCGCAATATAGATGTCGCTGTCGATTCTCCGCCTAGCGTGCGAACATCAAGAACTCCTTCAAAGCTGAGCAGCGGACTCGACGAGACGCGCGTGTTACGATGAGGGATCCCTTCCGGTCGAATCCCCGAACGAGTCGATTCCCGATTCCGCTGTCACGAAGCACGCCTCATGGAAGTGTTCTTGTTAGTTGTTGATAACGAGCCACCAGATGTCTGGGTAATGCTATATTTCGAACCCCTCGGAGTGTCGCCATTACTTACACTCTCTACTGTATGCTTTGGCCCTGCCTTTCCATCTATGGGCTCTGGTAGCGCCTATTACCTTTCTTCAACCCCTTCCGGAGACAAAATTCAACCGTCTCGTATTCCTCTCGGAGAGAATCAACAGGAACGAGATTTGGCATACTTCTTCCTCTCTCACCACGGAATCGCTCCAGCATATTTCAAGTTCTATCGCCCGAGGTTGTGGAGATCACTGAATCTCGTTTTCGGAGAATGTGAATTTCATTCCGTTTTTTTTTCTTTCCCCCCCTCCTTTTTTTTTTTTTCCCCCCCCCCCCCCCCCCCCCTCCACCCTGGGTCGTCACTCCTTGGTCTCTTTCGGAGGAAAGAGACCAACCATAAGAAAGATATTGACTCGTAGATCACGAAAAGTGGCCTTTTGTTGTTTGCGATGCTCCATTTCACCATAAAAATGAAATTAGCTGTCGTTCAATTAGGCTGAGTGCTTGCTCCGGTACTGTCCCCCAGTGTTGGGAAAATCTGCAGAAAATATATCGAAAACTTTTTTTTCGGCGTGCATGCGCGAAATGACAGGCATCCATTTGCATTCATTTCTGCGTCCCTTTTTTTTGGACGTGGGAGACTGCCAGTTGCAGCATGCAATGAATACAGTCACGAAGGCAGATTACGGGAATTCCACAGGGAAAATCCATCAGGAATGACACTGTTGTTCCAAAGTTGAGGAAAAAGTAGACATCGTTGGGGGAAATATTGATTCTTCCCCCGCCCCTTCTCTATCTAAAGCAATCCAAAACACTCGTAAAAAAAAAAGAAATACAGACGCACCTGGAACGCAGAGAGGTATGAGGCCTTCACAATGAAGTCGCTTCCTCCCTGTCTTTCTCGGGGGACTTCCCACTTTTATCGAGCCTTTTATCGTGACTAAGCGCTTCAAATAAGATTACGTGAGAGGCGGCTGAAGTGTGCCACGGGTGTAAACAGCTTGGCGGTGGAATGAGCTTAAAGAGAGCCACGAAAATCTCTGAAGTCATCCTAATGTTCTTCCGTACGGGTCAGAGGGGAGAGGAGTCTTCGTTCATCTCTGGTTCTATGGGAGCTTTTCCAACCGCCGAGGTCGAAAGAGACGTCCATGCAATTTTGACAAGCCGGACTGCCTTCTTGGATTGAATCGTGATTCACTGATGACGTTCCCCTCTCGAGATGAGAGGCCAGCGGAGGCCAGGCTTCTGACGACAGCGCCGAGGCCGCGTGACGGTTCGGGATCGTCCAGCGTGCTCACGTGCCTCGCAGTTCTGAGAAGTCTCAGATGCCTACGCGGCATGTGAAGGTGCGTGAAGGTGCGTGAGGTTTGTTTACCTTGGGCCTCTCCAAATCTCAAGCGCTCCTGCTTTCGTTGTTAGGATACGATACAGAACGTGAATCGGGTGAATGGAGAGCGCCAAGTTTTTTCTTGGAATGGTGTCTTTGTGCTGCCTATAAATCATTTACTCTTTAAATATGCAAAAAGGTCAATATTAAGAAAACGTCTGCACATGAAAGTGCGAAAAAATGGATAGGGTTTGAGGTGCAAATTACTCAAGAACATATTGCCTCGTCTTCTCGAAGAGAGAGGGAAATTTGTGGCGTCGGACCGATCCGAATGGCATCTAACCCGACACCTCGGGCTCGAGAAAGAAATTGTGTTAATTCGGGTCGTAAAGATAGTCTATTATTCTCGGTGAGTCATAAAGATAGATCCATCAGCTAGACTCGGGACATGATTAGGCCCTTCGTAGATGCTTAAGTGAATCAGAACAAACCACTTTTAAAAGACCGATGGACGGAATATTTCCAAGTTGTGAACAGAAACCCACCGAAGTCCTAGATGCAGTAGGGCACAGAGACGACACGAAGTCACGAGTTTCTATCCCAGGAGACTTCCCACACTGTTCGCATTATTCTTTTTATCGCGTCTAAATACTGCGATAAGAGAGAGATAGTCCATGGAGAGCGACATGAAAAGTGGACTAACGACGAAAGTCCACATTCCAAAAGAGGGACGGGGGGCCGTCAAGTGCTTGCAATTACTTTCAAGTACCATGCAGTACTTGCGAATTCTCTTCTGTGCGGTTCAACGAAGGATCTCGAATTTGGGGACGCGCTATGAATGGAGCAACGGAGAATGGGTTTTAGCGTTTCCTTCATTTTTCCCCTAATTTCCTCTGCTGTCCACATTTTCGCCACCCCTGCTTTAAGGGAAACATTCATTTAAAAAAAAATTAGAATAAAGTTATTTTCCTCCCCACGAACGTATATCTATGAATTCACGATATCTTCCTGTAAAATATTTACATAAATACTGCCGCGGGAAATTTTCATTGTGGTGCATGCCTGCATTTACCTTCAACTACGGCCCGCGTGGTTTCAGGAATTCCCTTCCTATTCGAAAAATTTCCAGTCTAAACCCCTCCATATTAAGGGCCCCCCCCCCCTAAAAAATTTATATTAAAATTGGATAAATTAAATTTAACAAATAAATGGTAATAATAATAAGCCAGAAAACAAGCCCTAGCGAAAAACCAAGCAAACCAGGTGCTGATTAACAAACGAGCTGCAATGTCCTCCGTGAGAATGTTACTCTGGCATCCTTGTGTGGAGGTTTCCTTATGCGTTAATGCAGTTGAGAGAGCAGACGCTCTGTCGGGAATGCTGTCGAGACTGGAGACCGAAATGGCCGTGGTGCGCATCGATAATGCGATGTGGAAGGTTCTCCTGATATATGAGGGCGAATCGAATGAATGAAAATGAGCCAACGCGTGCTCATCAAGAAACGTGCACATTTATTTATTTATTTTTTATTTCCATGGGCATTTAGGCATTTGTCCCATCGAGTCACCAGCCTTGTGATGCCTCGGTCGTAGAACGATTGTGGCAACTGGTTCCGAATGTCTGTGACGGCATCCCTCACTGCAGCGTCCGACGTAAAGTGACGTCCCTTCGTGAGCTTCTTCAGCTCCCCAAACGCCTGGAAATCGCGTGGGGACAGGTCCGGGCTATACGGTGGGTGTTTCAACACCTCCTAGCAGAACGATTTCAAGGTCACTTGGGCCTTATGTGGTCTGGCTTTGTCGTGAATGAATATCATTCCATTTTTCAGGAGACCTCGGCGCTTGCCTTTATGGCCTTATGCAACATGGCAAGAGTCTGGCAATATCGTTGGGCATTAACTGTCTCCTCTTGCGATTTCCAAGTGTTTGGGAAGTTGAAGAAGCATGAAGCGACGACACTTTACGTTGGACGTTGCAGTGAAGGATGCCGTCATAGACATTTTGAACCGGTTGCCACAATCGTTCTACGACCCCCATCGCAAGGCTAGTGACTCGATGGGACAAATGCCTAAATGCCCATGGAAATTTAAAATAATAAAGGTTCACGTGTCATGATGAACACGCGTTGGCTCACTTTCATCTGATTCGCCCTTTTACCGTAGTTCGGCATTTTACTCATCAGCGGAACCAGCTCCTGATTTTTTTTGCTTCTTTTTCTTGTTCTTTTAGACAAGGGCACGACGAAGACTTGCACTTTTGAAATGCGGGAAATGAGAGGAGTCTCTCGTGACGCCGATCATACAGGGGAGCCCCGTGTGCCCTGGGGGACGGGAATCGGGTCGTATACTGTCATAGTGCTCCTTTTGCCCTGCCTTTCCATTCTTTCCATCGAGGGTGAGCGAGATTCATACCTGTGGTCGCAGCCGCGTTGGCATCGGCTCCGGCCCGGTGTCGGTGCCCATCCTTTCAGGAAGCCTGTGTTTCCACCGGTTTCCCTCATCTGGCTGAGGATTCGTGGCACACGCCTCCGCGTTCGACAATCCTTCGTCAGTTGCCTTTTGCTCCAGAGTTGTTACCGTGTTGCTAGCTCCTTGGTCTAGATAAGTCCACCTCTAACAGTTAAAAAAAAATTTATGGATCGTGCCGATCTACGGTCGCAATCATATATCTTGCTCCAAGTTCGGGATACGCAGAGACGAACGCGAACTCTCCATGAGGCAAAAGGTACTTTCCTTTACTGCCGTCTTTGGGTAATCTAAATCCTTGCGTCTCCATTTATTCGTGGAGTAAGTTACCCACAGTTGAGAAAGAGTCCATATTGTCGCTAAGATATCTATAATGCGGGACGGTTAAGACGGACGGACTAAAACCGTTGCAGTGCCCGTTTGAAAACTGATGGGGCGACCGGTTGCGTTGCGCCCATAATGAAGTTTCTGATCATTTTGGATTTTCACGTTCGTCCTTCGAAACCTATCACCAGAGTCCCATACGATTTCCATGCGCAGAAGGAACGACAACGATGGACGTAAACCGTTTATTTTATTCGCAAAGAGACAGAATATGAAACTAGAGAGTACCAGCCCAGGTATAGATCTGGCATTGCATTGGCCCCTGTACCACTGGATTTATTATAAATATTTACCGTATCCTGACTTTCCAATTTCGAAATAAATAATAGCTGTCACTGGTACGGCGTAGGACTGGAAAACAACACATGTTCTCGATGTTCTGCGCGTGGAGACGGGAGGACAGTGGGATGTCAGACATAGCATTTCACACGTGCGCCTAGCAACCCTGTCTACGCGGCCGGGAGCAGCCGCTCTCCTCCATTGTTTACTATGGATCCATAAACCGCTAGGGCTGGAAGGGAAGTGGATGCTTTCGTGGAAGACGGACACCCCGACCCAGGTGGAAAGTTGCGCGTGCGCATTGGGTCTTCTTGTACGGTCGCTATGGTTACTGCTGACAGACAGAATGAAAAAAGTGACAACCGAACGCAATATCGTACCAATAGTACCTATGGAAATGCCAGATAGATAGTGAAATGCGAGGGAATCGGATCACTAAACGGACCTCACTTGACCGATCAACGGACGGGCGAGTAGTGTAGATATCCCGAAAATGGGAAGGAGGCGAGGCTGCCTGTCTCCAGCCGTGGAAACCGTTTTATCGCATCCGACTTCCTCGTGTGAGAAGCTTATACCAATGACGGTCGAGAACGTCATGCACGAGCATAAACATCAGTGCCAGGATGCGTTCGTGGAGATCGATGGAGACGGAGAGAGGACAGGGGACGGTGGATATATCCCTAGACGGCGCGAGTGTGGTTGAAAACTTGCTCGACCCCGTCGGGCAGGGAAGCCCGAGGTGCGTCGGTCTGGCGCGTCTGGTCCGCTTTTCGCCCTTTCGCGGTCGAGGCGTCGGTGGGGACTTGCGACTTCTGTCGGGCATCATTTCGAGGGAATCTTGAGCAAACGTTGAATTAGCTCGTGATGTGAGAGGCTGACCCAAAGATCAGAGCATGCCGACTCGACCTGTGAGGGCTCCTCTGGTCTCCTCTGGCCTCCTCCAGCCTCCTCCGGACTCGGCCGGGATCAAGGTACTCCTTTACTGTCGTTTTCTGCGCTCCTCTTTTTTGGAAAAATGACATCCTTGCATCTCGATTTACCGAGACCAATTCGAGGAGGAAGAGTTTTTTGAACAGTCGAGGAAAAGCGTCCAGCTATCGCTAAGATCTGACGCATCGATGTTGGCTTTTAATGAGGGACCAAAACCGTTACGGCGCCGGTTTGACGATTAATGGGGCGACGAGTTGCGTCGTGCCCGGGAGGAAGCCGACGATCATTCTGGACTTTCCTTATCATCGATCGTTCGAAAGATCTCGTCCGCGTTCGATTCCATTTTCATCTGCGGAAAAAATGACAACGATCGATGACTCCTTCTTTCTACTCGTGACGGAAAGGAAAAATGGGAAACGAGTGAGAGTCGGATGTTTCGCACATCGTGCATGAACTCTAGTACGACATTGCGTTTCGGATTAGGTCGCGAGGGAGAGAGAAAAGAAACGGTGAATATATCCCAAGGCTTTGGGAGAAGACTCGCTCTGGAAGCCCCAAGTCGTCGGTCCCGCGCGAGTGCGTCACGACACTCCCAAGTGTATGTGGCTTTCTCTCGAGTCCGGAAGATCGTTGGGTTTATTGGGGTTTATTGGGAGCTGAGCTGTCGCATCGCTCTGGTAAAGAGATGGAAGGGAAAAAAGGAAAAGTGCTTTATCTGCGAAAAATGTTGAAATATAGTATAATTTGATGCAAAATGCATATTTTCTCCTTTAATTGCAGATGGTAACTTTGGGGATTAAGGAAAGAGAAGAACTAGCCTCTGACCACTTTTCCTCTCCTTTAAGAAAACGGCCACAGGAATGTTCACCCTTTCCGTGTGGAGCTCCAGTAAATATTTCGTATTTTCTCGGCGAGTAACAGCCTTAATTTGCCGTCCAACAATTTCTGGTTCCTCGTGTTTCCGTTGTCGAGACGTCGGCCGTTCACTTTTCGTTCGACGTGGATTATAGGTTTCCTATAAGAAATAACTATAGGTTTCCTATAGGACATTTCCGTAAGGGATGCAAGTGTCCCTACCATGGGGAAACCCTTAATCGGTAAATAATTTACACCAAAATGCTGCCCCAATATTAATCCCTGGCGCCTTCTCCGTCGTAATGCCTGAGTTTTGAAACCTAAAAAATCCTCACTGAATCCTATTGGTCAGGAGTCCTATACGACCCTAAAGGGATCCTATAGGTTCTTCGTGTTTCAAAAACCAATAGGAAAGTCTATACGTTTCCTAGAAGAAATAACTATAGGTTTTCTATAGGACATTTCCGTAAGGGACCTTTCGATGTGATGCCGTTTGTGTAAGTCGAGGAAGCAAGAGGCATTATTGTGCCTCATCAGTTTCTACTGTATAATGCGGGACAGTTAAGACGGACGGACTAAAATCGTTGCGTTGTGCCCATAATGAAGTTTCTGATAATTTTGAATTTTCACGTTCGTCCTTCGAAACCTATCACCAGAGTCCCATTCGATTTCCATGTGCAGAAGGAACGACGACGATGGACATAAACCGATTATTTTACTCGCAAAGAGACAGAATATGAAACTAGAGAGTACCAGCCCAGGTATAGATCTGGCATTCCACTGGCTCCTGTACCACTGAATTTTTTATAAGTATTTATTATAAATAAAGACTCCCATTGGAAGCCCAAACTCGTCGGTCCCGCGCGAGTGCGTCACGATTCTCCCATGTGAATGTGGCTTTCTCTCGAGTTCGAAAGATCGTTGGGTTTATTGGAGTCTCTTTTCACGCATTTTCATTGCTGAGAAAGCTGAGCTGTCGCATCGCTCTGGTGAAGCGATGAAAGGAAAAGTACTTTATCGGCGAAAATGCCGAAATAGAGTATAGTTTCATGCAAAATGCATCCTTTCCCCTTTAATTGCAGATGGTAACTTTGGGGATTAAGGAAAGGGAAAAACTAGCCTCTGACCACTTTTTCTCTCTTTTAAGAAGACGGCCACAGGAATGTTCACCCTTTCCGTGTGGAGCTCCAGTAAATATTTCGTATTTTCTCGGCGAGTAACCGCCTTAATTTGCCGTCCAACAATTTCTGGTTCCTCGTGTTTCCGTTGTCGAGACGTCGGCCGTTCACTTTTCGTTCGACGTGGATCTATGGAGCGCCTTCGATGTGAAAAGGTACTAGAAAATCAAAAAGTTCGGTCCATTTCAAGAGATCATTATGAATTTTCACTTCGTTTGCTCGAGGATGCGCCATCCAAGAGGGCGGTGGCCGTCTGAGGATGGAGCGTCAGCTTCAGTCTCCCCTTCCCGGGGGACCACTTCCGTTCCACGAGCGTCGTCAGGGAGGAAGAGATGTTCCTCAATTCCTGCAGGATCGCTTCCAAGATCGCGGAATCGCAGCCTCCTTGCGGATCCATCCTCGGGGCCTTCGAGGTCCCGGGCCGGTCGGAGGACGCGGGTCTCTTCGCTCCGCGCCTCGCCGCGCCGTCGCCCGGCGACTCGCCGGCGTCGTCTGAAGACTCGTCGTCTGCAGCGTCCCCGTCTCCATCGCCCTTTCCCTTCCCTCCTGTGGAAAGGAGAATGAAGTGAGATGAGCGATCCTCAGTCCTCGATGAGCACAATTTCGGGAAACGAGTCTGGGGAAAGCCAATTCCAAATGGATCATTTGACCGCGAAAGCATCAAAATTCACCAGTTTTCTCCGCTACATCGTCTCGAAATCGTATTAAATTCGGTAAGCAGAAGGACTAAGTTGAGATTTGCTGCCAAGCAATGCCTGTACTTCAAACGGGGCCGATGTAGAGGCCATTAACATTTGACACCAGAGCAAAAAAAAAGATACAGTCCAGAAAAAGTAACTTGTAAAACGGCTGCACAAACACTCTCGACCGATCAATTTATTAAGAAGGGGTAATATCGACGTCTTGGAAGCGTAGAACCGCATTTCGTAAGGAGTGAAAAATACATGGTGCCCCACAAGTTAATAGTCCCAATTAACACTGTTATATACGTACTGTATAAAAAAAAGTGTTGTTATATACTGTAAACCACTGTTATATTCAGTACGCACTACATATAACACTGTTTTCAACTCTGTATGTACAGGTAATAGTGGTAAATATCTATTGGGTTTGTTTCTACCAATTCAATATTAATTGGGACAACTAACTTTTTGGGGCACCCTGTACAGTCAAAATCTACCAAGAATAGAGGAGGAATAGAAGCTTCTAACAAATTAGGAAAAGGGCAAAATAAATAGCAATTACTTGCGAAGACACGTGAGATTATAAAAGTAAGACGTAAGGGGATAGAAACGGGTAAGAGGTCAAAACACACGAATTGAGTTTGTTTCACGAAAGAAACAAACGAAGGGAAGACTAAGGAAAAAAAAATGGGTGGGTGCAAGGGCATGGGAGGAGGGAGGGAAGTTGAGAGGAAATTCAGGGCCGCTTTTTCAACATTCCAGAAAGTTTCACGTTCGCCCTTGTGAAGGACGTTTCGATCGTCCATAAGTTTCAATGGTGTTTCGGTGTCTCGGTCTATTAAAGTGAATTCCCGTGGGTACCTTCCAATTACTTTGTGTGTTGAGTGCCGCTTTGCCATTCATTGATTCCGCGCATCCACGTGGAAGACGACAGATTTTTTTATCCTGTTCCGTCCATATCGCTGAAATTCTTGCCTTTTTTTGCCAAAGGCGAAAGCCGAAAGAAAGGGAAATTGGGCAAACCGATGCATCAAATATTTTGTTTGTTTTTTTTTTTTAAGTTTCGATTCAAACTTTTGAAAGGTTTTTCTCCTGGATTCCCCCTGTGGGAATCGTGACTCTTGTGTCAAATTAGGATTTGATCGAGTCCGTGCATTTCTTAAGCAACGCAAGAAGCCATTTCTCAGTTACTTTCGAACTGGGAATTGGCCTTATTTGCAATCTTTGACCTTGGGAATCTTTGCACTCTTTGAACCACCGTGTGGGAAAAAAAAGACGAAGGGCTGAACTTTGCATCATCTGATGGTTCGGTTAAAGGGCTTTCAATTATACAAGAGCGAATGTGTCTTTGTTGCATGCGTTGAATGTGTCTTTGTTGCTCACAATGTATATATTTTTTTTAAAGGTCTTCAAGTGTGGCAATGGGTCTTCGCCTAACAATCTCAGAATTCAACGAAATTCATCATGCTGAAGGATGGCCTCAAGAAAGTGAAAGAACAATGATCATCAAACACGAGTGGACACGGAGTGTTCCCCATTCGGACCCGGTAAGAAAAAAAATCACCCCTTGCCCTCAGATGGTAGCTGAATTCCTTTTCGTTCTTGATGACTCAAATTAAAGCGGAAATAGTACGATCAAGATAAATTTAAAATTCCCAGTTTCTAAAATTTTTCCTTTCAAAAGAAAAATAGTTTAATTTGTGGAGAGAATAACGCCGGGAGGAAACAGACGAAATTAAGTCGCTATCATATCGCCTGAAGATGCATATAAATATTTAAATGCACGAATTCACTCCAATGCAAATTTTTCAAAGTTGTCACGATTCGCACTCGATGAATCGTGGAGACAAACTCTCCATGAAGTATTAAGCCAAATATAAATAATAAAAAGTTGTACAATGTTTGATTTTCCTTTCTTTTAGCTTTGATTTCAGCTACGAACATATTTTCAAGGGCAAAAAGCAAGGAGGTTGTGCATAGGAGGCCATTTTTGCCCAGGGTTCAAATTGCAAAGATTATTAGCTCCAGTTCCAATTTTAGGCGTGCGATATCAACTGGTTCCAATTTCCAATGTCGTTCTTCCGTCTGCAGATTTCATCGAAATTTTGAAACGGTTAGGCCTGAAATATTTGATACTTTGGTGCACGTGAGGCGGAAGGACCCACGCGAAAGACTTATTTCACACGTTAGCCGAGTTTTGGATTTTGCAAAGGAAATTTTGCATTTCGAATGCACTCACCGGCAGAGGATCCTGGATCCCCCGGGAGGATGTCGCCTCTGGCGCTTCCGCACAACTCGAGGACTCGGGTCTCCCTGGTGGAGAGCGGTTCGCCGTTTTTCTGTCGTTTCTCGGCGGACTGCAGCATTCGCTTGAACTTTTCCCGGATCTCCTCCCCCGTTCTCCTGATGTTCGTCACGTTGGCCATGCTGTCCGCGACGGCTTCCCACGCCTTTCTTTGGATCGTTCGCGGGGATGAATCCGTGATGGACACCAGAGGTTTCCCCGCGGTTTTCCCCACTTCCTCCACGAGCACCTTGCATTCATCTTCGCTGAACGCCTTCGCGCGCTGAGACGCTCTGGGCATTTCTCGATTCCCGAACAGATTCGCAACAGATCTGCGAAATGGGCTTGCGCCGGGTGTGGTGAGTATGGCGCGACTGGAACTACGAGGATGCGATAAGGACCGAACGATAAAGCTTGAGGGGGACAAGGTAGGCCGGGGATCCTCTTACTTTGACTCACTGTGTTACCTACTCGTGAGAGCCCTCTTAGCGAGAATCACCATATTCGATAAGCAGGCTTGACGCAGTTTGAAAGGCGTTTCATCGTTTCATCAATGTAGAGAAACAACTGAGCTCTAGCCAGCAGTTGAATGCGTCGGAGATAACCTCGACTCATTCCACGTCTTAGATCGAATGTCAGGATTTACTACATCGTGAAATAAGCCGCTGCGTCATCGGTCCCGTTCATCTGTGAAAGGAAATTTAAAATAATGGTATCAATAATTTTGGATTTTCATCCATTTCCAAAGGTTGCATCTCGTGTATCGACAGATTTAAAGGTGCAAGATTTCGGTAAATAAATTATTTGCGATGATATTACATTACTCCATGCGAGTAGTTCAGAGGAAAAAAGATGATGGAAGTACTTGAAGTACTTCCATTGTAGAGCACCAGGAATTCTCAGGAGGCGCGAACTCCTTTGCCCCCAGCGCGTTGTATTCACCAGAGCTCCAGTCCAGATGGCATTGTCTTTTAATTTTGCGAAACTTATTCTATCTCATTTGTTAACGCACGTGATTTCACCGTGTTTTCTGCATGTCCGCATTTACACACCTCTCTGGAAAAGGTGGACTCGATTGCACTCAAAGTTAATCAGCACTCAAGCTGTCGGGTTCAACCCATAATAATCCTCTCTAGCTCGATCGTTGGAGAGCGACTCCACCCATCTGGAAGAGACGTGTGGGGAAGGGGATTCGCATGGGACGGGCCGGGGTGGCTTCGACCTCCCATTTTGCTGCCTTCCACTTCTTCCCGCTTTCTTTGAGAGCTCGCTGCTTCGTTGAACCGTTCGCGGATGACAATTTTCCCGATGTTCGTGAGTTTTGTTGAAGTATTCCGATGCGGCTATTACTTCGAACAGCTTTCCCCAAGATGCAAATGCCTTCGGTCGTATTTGAGATGCCGTGTCTCAGACTTCGGTCTGGGTCGCATCTGTCCTTCGCCGACGGAAGATGCCATCTCCGTCGATCAGTATGCAATCGACGAAAAGCCCTCAGTCTCGAATCGCGTTTTCGCCTCGAGGTACTGAAGAGACGGACGGGATGGGTGAGGCAGGCTTCGTGTCGGTGCAACGGTCCTTTCTGGAGATTTACTTTTTATTACTCTTTTATGATGGAGGGATGGGGGTGGCATTTCTTTTTTAAAGTGAGACAGCGATTCAACCTCATTTGAGACCTCGGTTGTCTGCGAATATGAACGTACCTTTTTCTGGCCATTGGCGCCAACTTACGGAACAGTTTCACACGCGTAAAAAGTGTCCGAAAATCAGATTCACGGTTTTCTTTCCGTGTAAATCAATATGCAAGCCATCACCGCAACGATTAAATACCTCCAACAAAAAAAGAATTTTAGGTTTTCTTTTTTTCCTTTCTTCCGTTTTTGTTGCTTGTAATGAGAAATTAAATTACTTAAAATATTCATGCGCCAGTGAGTTAAAAGAGACACGAGACAACATTTTTCTCACCACGAGGAAGAAATGGGAGCAATGGGTTCCATTTGTTGCTCGGAAAGCTTGAAACTCCAGAAAATCCGCCTCAAGGTCGGAAGTTTCATGCTATTTGTAAGAAGGCTCTTCTTGACTGTCAATATGGCTTGTATTTCTTTGCACGGCAGGCCTTATCACGGCCATATTTGCTCATCCTGTCTCTTCTTTTTTTTTTAAATCTCGGCAAAATTCGATGGACATTTATCTCTCTGTGATACCAGATATGAATTTATTGTCTACAAAGGAAAAGACCCCAGAAAGTATGCATGAAATAATTCTGGAATTCTTGCTTGGACTATGAAAGAAAACCGGTCGAAGGTCAGCATGAAGAAATGAAAATCACCGTAACAGTTGCGTCTTGGATAACACGAACAGGTTTTTAGTTGTCTGTTGGGCAGCCTAAGCAGGAGTTCGATATTAGGAAGCGAAAGAGCCAGAACGCGACAAGGTTCGGTCCATTTAAGATGGCAATGAATTTGACCCTATTTGGTCCCGTGCATGATGGGGCCACCCTGGAAGACGACACGACTTGAATCATTTTCTTATTTTTGGATTCACGGGGGACTCCAATCCAGCAGCTTCGTCAAGGACAAAAAGATGCTCTCAATATCCTCCAGGGTTGCCTCTAGCATCTCTTCCAACGACTCGGAGCCTTCCATTTCCGTTTCTCCGCGATCCGTCCTTAGGGCCTTCGACGCACTGGGCGGGGGAGACCGGGCTCGCCTTTTCAGACCGCGTCCTTCACCCGTGGAGGCAACGGCCCGACTGGTCTCTCCTGCGGGGATGGAGGAAGAAGCGGGGTTGAGCACTTTTCAGTCTGAGCGCGCAGCGGAAGTTCTCCTCTAGGCCACTAGATGGAAGTATTGGGTTCTCACATTTCTCAAAGGGCACAAAAGTGCCCTCCCCTTACCCAAGGAATAATCTCTCACAAGAGAGTTTTGTACGTCCCCAAATGTCTCGCCTTGAATCATTGTAGCAATCAATAAACTTCGACAGTTCCTTATTTTTCATCCCCATCTTCCATTTATAATCATGGAGTCCCGTGAAGAAATATACATTTATTCCCATTCAAAACCACCTACGACACCAAGTGGATACTATCCAGATTGAGTTTCAGTAAAGAAACGTGCTCGATGTTCCTGTCGTATTTTTCATTATGTCAAGATTATATGACTACTTCTTTCTACTGAAGGAAGTAGACGTGCAATCCAGCGATACTCGGGGGAGGGGCTATAAATTTTAGAGATCCCCACGCTACTGGTATTAATAATGCATGTGTCCCTACCATAGGAAAACCCCTAATCGTTTTTTTTTCCTTTTCACCGAAAAGCTGCGCCAATATTAACCCCGGTCGCCTTTTCCGTAGTAATGCCTGGGTTTTGCAACCCAAAATATCCTCCCCGGATCATATAGGTCAGGAGACCCATAAGACCCTATTGGGATCCTATAGGTTTTTCGTGTTTCAAAAACCAATAGGAAAGTCTATAGGTTTCCTATAAGAAATAACTATAGGTTTCCTATCGGACATTTCCGTAANAATAAATTATTTGCGATGATATTACATTACTCCATGCGAGTAGTTCAGAGGAAAAAAGATGATGGAAGTACTTGAAGTACTTCCATTGTAGAGCACCAGGAATTCTCAGGAGGCGCGAACTCCTTTGCCCCCAGCGCGTTGTATTCACCAGAGCTCCAGTCCAGATGGCATTGTCTTTTAATTTTGCGAAACTTATTCTATCTCATTTGTTAACGCACGTGATTTCACCGTGTTTTCTGCATGTCCGCATTTACACACCTCTCTGGAAAAGGTGGACTCGATTGCACTCAAAGTTAATCAGCACTCAAGCTGTCGGGTTCAACCCATAATAATCCTCTCTAGCTCGATCGTTGGAGAGCGACTCCGCCCATCTGGAAGAGACGTGAGGGGAAGGGGATTCGCGTGGGACGGGCCGGGGCGCCTTCGACCTCCCTTTTTGCTGCCTTCCACTTCTTCCCGATTTCTTTGAGAGCTCGCTGCTTCGCTGAACCGTTCGCTGATGACAATTTTCCCGATGTTCGTGAGTTTTGTTGAAGTATTCCGATGCGGCTATTACTTCGAACGGCTTTCCCCAAGATGCAGATGCCTTCGGTCGTACTTGAGACTTGAGCTGTGTCTCAGACTTCGGCCTGGGTCGCATCTGTCCTTCGCCGATGGAAGATGCCATCTCCGTTGATCAGAGTACAATTGGCGAAATGCCCGCAGTCTCGAATCGCGTTTTCGCCTCGAGGTGCTGAAGAGACGGACGATACGGGTGAGGCAGGCTTCGTGTCGGTGCAACGGTCCTTTCTCGAGTTTTACTTTTTATTACTCATGTATGGTGGAGGGATGGGGGTAGGGGTGGGGGAAGGGGTGGGATTTGTCTTTTGAAGTGAGACAGCGATTCAACCTCATTTGAGACTTCGGTTGTCTGCGAATATGAACGTACCTTTTCCTGGCCATTGGCGCCAACTTACGGAACAGTTTCACATACGTAAAAAGTGTCCGAAAATCAAATTCACGGTTTTCTTTCTATGTCAATCAATATGCAAGGCATCACCGCAACGATTAAATGTCTCCAACAAAAAAAGAAACATAAGGTTTTCTTTTTTTCCTTTCTTCCGTTTTTGTTGCTTGTAATGAGAAATTAAAATTACTCAAAATATTCATGCGCCAGTGAGTTAAAAGAAACACGAGACATCATTTTTTTCACCACGAGGAAGAAATGGGAGTAATAGGTTCCATCTGTTGCTCGGAAAGCACAGCCTGAAACTCGAGAAAATCCGCCTCAAGTTCGGAAAGGTCGTGCTATTTGTAAGAAGGCTTTTCTCGACTGTCGATATGGCTTGTATTTCTTTGCACAAGGCAGGCCTCATCACGGCCATATTTGCTCATACTGTCTCTTCTTTTTTTTTAATCTCGGCAAAATTCGATTGACTGTTATCTCTCTGTGATACCAGATATGATTTTATTGTCTACAAAGGAAAATACCCCAGAAAGTATGCAAGAAACATATCTGGAATTCTTGCTTGGACTATGAAAGGAAACCGGTCGAAGGTCAGCATGAAAAAATGAAAATCACTGTAACAGTTGCATCTTGGATAACACGAACAGGTTTTTAGTTGTCTGTTAGGCAGCGTAAGCAGGAGTTCGATATTAGGAAGCGAAAGAGCCAGAACGCGACAAGGTTCGTTCCATTCAAGATGGCAATGAATTTGGCACTATTTGGTACCTTGCATGATGCCACCATGCATGCAAGTTAGGAAATCAGGCCACCCAGGAGGACTACACGACTTGAATCATTTTCTTATTTTTGGATTCACGGGGAACTCCGATCCACCAGCTTCGTCAAGGACGAAGAAATGCTCTCAAAATCCTCCAAGGTTGCCTCTAACATCTCTTCCAACGACTCGGAGTCTTCCATTTCCGCTTCTCCGCGATCTTTCCTTGGGGCCTTCGACGCACTGGGCGGGGGAGACCGGGCTCGCCTTTTCAGACCGCGTCCTTCACCCGCGGAGGCAACGGCCCGACTGGTCTCTCCTGCGGGGATAGAGGAAGGAGCGGGGGTGAGCACTTTTCAGTCTGAGCGCGCTGCGGAAGTTCATCATGGGAATGTTGATGCAGTGGTGTGGATGCACTCACCGGCAGTGTCAGGAGACCGAGCTGGGGCGGATTCTGAGTCATCAGGAACGCGTTTCGTAGCCCCTCCGTTTCCACAAATTTGAAGAATTTTTAACTCTCTGGAGGTGAGCGGTTCGCCGTTTCTCTGTCGTTTCTCTGCGGACTGCCTCATTCTTTTGAACTCGTGCCACACTTGGTAGCCCGTCCTGCCGACGTTCGTCACACGTGCCATGCGAACTGCTATGGCATCCCAGGTCTTTTTCTGCTCTTCCCGCAGGGAAGCACGCGTGAGAGACACCGACACATTTCCATAGTCATTCTCCACTTCCTGCACAAGCGCGTCGCACTCGACCTCGTCGAAGGATTTTGTGCGTGGAGACCGCTTGGGCATGCTCGATGTCCGGCAGGACGTGCACCAACGGCCTCGCTGCTCTTCGTTCGAGGCGGGTCTGAGTGTGAAGCGGTCGATTCTAGTCCGTGAGAGGCGATAAGGACCAACATGACTAACGAACGAGGCGCGGATCGATGGATTTCCTGGTTCTTTTACTCTCGGCTTTATTTTTCATCCCTTACGAAAATGTCTTATAGGATTCCCATATATTCCTAAAGGAATATATGGGATTCCTATAAGAATCCTATAGGAACCTAAAGGAATCCTATAGGATCCTATATGCCCCATAGAGATCAGTTTGGGATCTATAGAGGTTTTCCCATGGTAGGGACACTTGCATTAGTAATACTTCGACAGTTGCTTATTTGTCATCCCCATCTTCCAGATAGAATCATGGAGTCCCGTGAAGAAATATGCCCTTATTCCTTTTGAAACCCACGTACGAAACTTAGTTGCCTCTATCCAAAAGGAGTTTCAGTACAGAGACGTGCTCGCAGGTTCTGTCTTTTCTTTCCTTAGGTCGAGAGAAGAATATTACTTCTTCTTACGGAAGGAAGTAGACGTGCAATCCAGCCACACATGTGCGGCAGGGCCATAAATTATGCAGACCCCCACATTACTGGTATTAATAATGCATGTGTCTCTACCACAGAGAAGCCCCTAATCGGTTTTGATTTACACCGAAATGCTGCGCCATTATTAACCCCGGTCGCCTTTTCCGTCGTAATGCATGGGTTTCGAAGCCAAAATATCTTCCCTGAATCCTATAGGTCAGGAGTCCTATAAGACCCTATAGGGATCCTATATTATCCTAAAGGATCCTATGGGTTTTTCGTGTTTCAAAAACCTATAGGAAAGTCTATAGGTTTCCTATAGGACATTTCCGTAAGGGATGAGAACTCTCTGCTTTGTAGAACGGTGTGCGTATAAGTTCCATCGTAGCTGCACGCGTGTTTCTGAGAGATTCTATTTCGGAAATTCAGACGCGTCAGAAAGTGGCTCGATTCGTCTAGCGAGTTGAGTGAAATGTAAGTTGGTTCTGTGACATCGCCGAATGTCCTCATTCTCCTCTCGTCCGGTCTATCGACGCAAAATAGAAGGAAAAATTTCACCAATCGATTTGGCAAATCCATGTACGCCACCAAGTTTCACGCTTCGTGGAAACAAATCGACGGGCGTGTATTTTCAACTCGAGAACGGCACGGAGTTAACAGAAGAGGGGCCACGTGACGAGGAGAAAATGGATGGACGGAACCCACAATCCAAGTCCTTTTCGGTAACTCCTTACGAAAATGTCTTATAGAATTCTTATAGGGACATAGAGGAATCCTATAGGTTCCCATAGGGTTCAGTTTGGGACCTATATGGTTCCCTATGGAACTTATAGAGTTCCCTATAGAACCTATAGGGTTCCCCATAGGGCCTAAAGGGTTCCTTGTAGGACCCGTAGGGTTCGCTATAGGACCTATAGGATTCTCTATAGGGACAATAGGGTTCCCTACAGGGCCTATACGGAACCCTATGAGCCTATGGGGTTCCGTTTGAAGTTATCCTTTCGGCCTCGATGGAGGTATTGGGTTCTCGCATTTCTCATAGGACACAAAAGTGCCCTCCCATGGAATGATCTCTTAAAAGAGAGTTTGTAGATCCCCAAAGGTCTCGCCTTGCCTCATGGTAGCAATCAATCAACTTGAATACTTCCTTATTTGTCATCCCCATCTTCCAGATGGAATCATGGAGTCCAGGCCAGAAATTTGCCCATATTCCCTTTGAAAACCACGTACGAGAGAAAGTAGGCTTCATTCGAAAGGTGTTTCAGTGAAGAGACGTGCTCGCCGGTTCTGTCTTCTGTTTCCTTAGGTCGAGAGATTTATGATACTTCACGCTACCCAAGGAAGTGGATGGGCAATCCAGCGACATATGTGAGCCGGGACCATAAATTATGCAGACGTGGGCAGTGCTGGTATTACTAATGCAAGTGTCCCTACCATGGGAAAACCTCTAATCGGTAAATTATTTACACCAAAATGCTGCGCCAATATTAATCCCGGTCGCCTTTCCGTCGTAATGCCTGAGTTTCGAAACCCAAAAAATCCTCACTGAATCCTACAGGTTAGGAGTCCTATACACCCCTTAAGTGATCCTAATTTTTTTCGTGTTTCAAAAACCTATAGGAAAGTCTATATGTTTCCTTTAAGAAATAACTATAGGTTTCCTGTAGGACATTTCCGTAAGGATCCTTCGATGTGAAGCCGTTTGGATAAGTCGAGGAAGCAAGAGGCATTATTGTGTCTCATCAGTTTCTAGGGTACATGGCCGGTCGAGAATCTATTCCCAGTGCGACAATCAAACGAGGTCCAGATCGATATCCTCCTTCGCACGTGCTGCCTTCTCTCAACCTTTTTTCTTCTTTTAGAGCTAACTTCCTGAGGAAGCGGATGTTTATTCGGGCTAGGGATGACCTCCGGATCGCGACACACTCCACAGTTGTGACTCGCGTGAGATCGGCAGCGTCATACAGGGTTGTCCGGGTCAAGTGTAACAAACAAAGCTGCAATTTTCTTAGAAACAGTGTGTTTTATTGATTTGAAATTTGCACAGCATGTTCCTGACATAACCAGACATGACGAAAGTTTCACTCTAATTGGCTACCTTAGGCCTTAGTTATGGCCTTCAACCTCTTCTCAAAATTGTTGACGCTGTTCCTCACCACCTTCTTTGAAGTTTCGCTCTAAATACGAACCAAATCTTATCTGAGATGATCCCGATCCCAGCCCATGGGAGCAGGGCGTCCTGCCGGATGGATTTCATGTAGACGTTGTTGTTGATTTTGATTCCCTCGGGAACGAAGACCTTGTTGGTGACGGCCGCGCACACCATGTCCATAACTGAAGCCGATTTCTCGGAGCGGAACACTATTCCAGTACGGTTGGATATCTCCTCTCGAATTCGTGCCAAAACCCGATCATTGTGCCTGTTGTGGACTACCTGCACCGAGAATAACTTCTCGCTCGAGAAGTCGATGTTGAGGGCCGAACCATACTTGAGCCCTCCAGCATCTGACGACTTCGGGACGGTCTCTTGGTGGCTCTACCGAGGAACTGTCTCTTCTGGTGTCGGCAGGAGGTGAACCCTAGATCGTTCTCGACCGTCGTCATCGTCGACCTCGAGACATTCATCTTCTTCGCCATCTTCCTGAGGGAACTGTTGGGATTGCGCCAGATCCAGAGCCTGACTCGGTCGACCGAGTTATTCGTTTTCGTCGTATTCCTGCTGCCTCCAGATCGTTTGCCAGTAGAGCCTGTCTCGAGGTATCCATCCGATATCCTTTTGATAAAGGCTCAAATTCAACTTTTTGTCCCCTTTTCAATTTCCCGATCTTTTCATGGCCTGTTCGTGCAGTTCTACGACTAACGACCGCCTGGCCTCGGTCGCCATTTTCTCCGCTGGTGTTCAAACCATTGTCAAATTCAAGACGGGATTAAACAGCAGGAATGTAAAATTCCAACGAGTGACATTTGAACCACAGGAGTCAAGTATGGTTAGGGTAAGTCTCTGCAAGGAATTTATGAGAATTCGGGAAAAGGTCTGGGGGAACATGCGATGCGCTGTTCTTTCTCCGGGAAAGGTCAGTTGAGGTCAACTGGGAACGGTCAGTTGAGGGGTAAGGCGTCGTGGTTTTGCTGAGCCCAAACTTTTTTTTTGCAATTGCTACTAGAGAAGAACATAATAATAGCTTTTCTAAAAAAAAGTACATATTGTTATTATATATCACATAGGTCTTTCGGTGCATCTGACCCTCTGCGTCCCATCCAAACCCCCTCAAAAGTATGAAGAATTAATCATGATTCTAACGCGATGCTAAAGTCATAATTGCTCTAATGACAATGATTAAAAAAAAAGGGGGGGGGGGAAACGAAAATCACCCGGACGATTTCGTCCTCGACGACAGGGACACCATGTCGAGGCTTTTAAAGTCTAAAAAAAAAAATAAAAATAAAAAATAAACAAATAAACCGTGAGGCTAAGGCAGTTTCAACAGAAATGGACTTCCTCCGTATCCGCCGAATCCGAGTGCTCGTCCTCGCGGTTGGCCAAGGACGAAGAGATCCGTCTCGTTTCGCGCAGGATCGCTCTTTGGATTTTCAGCATCTGCATTAGCAGCTTCGTTTCTTGTGGGACTTCTCCGTTCCGCGACTTCGCGTCCGAATCGTCGGGAGGGTGAGGGGAGGCGCGCCTCTTCCGTCCGCGTCTTCCTTCGCCGGACGACTCGGGAGGGTTTCCGTCTTCGCCGTCTCTTCTATTCCCGCCAGCTGCTGAAGTGAGATTTATGTATTTCATTTACGGAGTCTCGGGTGCAGATGCGTTCGATCCGTGGGGAACGCGAGAGACACCCGCTGGACTCATTCTGCATTCAGGACATATGAGTGATTTCGTCCAGCGAAGGCACTCACCGGCAGAAGAGCACGATGGTTGTTCAGAGGAAGATCCTGGATCCCCGGCTGGAATCGTATCTTGTTTGGCGCTTCCGCACAACTCGAGGACTCGGGTCTCCCTGCTGGAGAGCGGTTCGCCGTTTTTCTGTCGTTTCTCGGCGGATTGCAGCATTCGCTTGAACTTTTCTTGGATCTCCTCCCCCGTTCTCCTGATGCTCGTCACGTTGGCCATGCTGTCCGCGACGGCTTCCCACGCCTTTCTTTGGATCGTTCGCGGGGATGAATCCGTGATGGATACCAAGGGTTTCCCCGCGGTTTTCCCCACTTCCTCCACGAGCACGTTGCATTCATCTTCGCTGAACGCCTTCACGCGTTGAGACGCTCTGGGCATTTCTCGATTCCCGAACTGATTCGCACCTCACTCGCTGCACCCAGCACGAGAGACTCGGGTCGGTGAGTGTGACGCGGCTCATACCCCACTGCAACGAGCGGCGAGGATGCGATAAGGACCCTTAAGATAAAACTACGGCTACGAGGGAACGAGGTTGCCCGGAGATCCTCTCGCTGTTCTGCCTACTCATGGGAGTCCTCTTTCTGGGAACCATAATAAATGATAAGCGGGTTTGACGCAATTTGAAACGTGCTCGATCGTTTGAACAGGCGTGGCTGCCAGCCATCCCGGCTGGGGGAGACTCGAATCGAACGGAGGAAATGCTCAGAACTGCATCTATTTTCAGCAAAATTACGGATGGACTGAGACACCCTGCGATCTTGAACTCATTCTCTCAACTATATGTGCCGTGGGGGGACTTATTCGTGAAATCTCAATCCGGGAAACAGACTGAAATTGCTGTCTCTAACGTCCAGATCAGCGTTCGCCCGGGACGTGTGCTTGTGTGGTGTGGTTCGCTTTCTAGGCCTTTAAATTACGAGAAATAATTATTTGTTGGAATCGATCGAATATTTTTATGATTAAATTATTGAATACGGTTAACTAGGATCCAAAATTAAAACCTATCGCCCACATGCTTAGTTTCAAATCGTCTTCAATTCCTCAATCATTCGATTCGTCAATTAAGTCATACGCTCCGATGTTGCCTAACGGGTTCCGGACGTTCTGGGGAACATGGGCGCCATCTACAGTGTACTTCTGAGTCATGGTTTGGTTATCGTGGTTTGGTTTGGTCGTACAAGTTTAAACGTCTGGACAAGTATGGTATATGCAGCAAACGTCTGCCAGTCTGACGAGGTCCACGACCTGCAAGTACCTCTGCCTCTACAAAAGCCGGAAACGAGGCAGACGGGAGCCCATTCCGCCATGGACGCAGACCCAGCCGCTTGGAATCCCATCTCGCCGCTTGGAATCCCATATCGCCGCTCTAAATCCCATATCGCCTCGGCCCCACCCAGCAAGGACGCTTGCTGTGGCTGCACCGACCGAGAGCACGAGAGTCCGACTGAACTTTCGATCGGAACGCCCGTGAGTCTGAGTTCGTGTCTGCCTCGTTGGGATGCTTGGGGTCCGCGACGCCTCGCCCCTTCGCTTTCTCCCTCGTGGATGCCGTCTCTCTGTTGAGGCAAGATGGCGTCGGTCCGTGTATGCGTGGGCTTGGTCCTTGAAGGGAGTTTGCCACTTTTCAAACATCCTCTGTGTTTTTGGGTCACTTTCACGATGTCGCAACTCTTATGGTCTGCAGTTCAATAGGAGCACCTTTGGATTCGGTTCGTCGTTCCGCAGAAAAATTTTGTTACCATTGACGTTGACGAGGATTTCTACGAGAAAATACATGGAATTGGGGTTGGTATGAGGATGAACGGTTTCGTTATGTCAGGATCAGGTTTCTGCCTCCTCTTTCGAGCCCATATCTCCATCGTTAATCCGTAGATTGACGTGGCATGACCTGCGTTTCGATATGATAGTGTGTAACTAGAGGCTCCACTCCGCTCGAATCCCATTCATTGACAGAGTCGCAACAGCGGACCGGACGAGACACGCGTGATACGTTGAGGGATCTAGTTACACTCTCTACTCCATGGTTCAGACTGTTCTCTGCAAATTGTTCGTATATACAGGGTCGTGCAAAAGTTCCCGTACACTTTGATTGGCGCTTCGATTCTTTTTAGGCGTCATAGCTCCAGAGAGAAAAATTCAAATAAAGAATGAAATTGACTATAATGAAAAGATTTCGTATGAAAAATATCCGTAGAATTAAAAAAAACCCACACATTAGAATCGCCAAAAATCCGTTGATTAGTGAAAAATTTAGATTTTCAAAATGTAAGCCCTTACGAAAATGTCTTATAGGATTCCTATATATTCCTTTATATTCCTTTAGGAATATATAGGAATC